AATGTGGCTGTATAGTATCTGATACTGTAGCATTTAATATTCAAGTATATTGATTTTTACTTTCTTCAGGGTTTTCTCTTAAAATGAATAAAATACTATCTTCCTGTCTAGTGGTGTATGCAATTATAAAAATTTGTCTCTTGTTTCAGATAAATTCAGAAAGTCTTCCTTTTTAAAAAATTCCTCTCTCCTCCTACCTTCTCCCTACCACTATGAGTGACCATAATTAATTCCAGCTATACCCTCAGCCTGGCTGTTCATTAGTGTTTATTATGTTTAAAAATCCCTTTTAAGTAATTGTTTAGATTTTAACCACAACCACTTTACATTCTACCTCTTCAATATATGAATGTCAAGATTACCAGGCATAACCATTCTTACTCTCTGAGTTATATGTGACTGGTATTCCTGGATAACTACTGGTAGTATGGGATGGTAGCTTGTGGCATCAGAGAGCATTTTTCAGACTTTCCTCTACATAACCATTATTTGACAGATTGTCCTAAATGAGCAGTTTTTAATTTTGTGACAATTTCACAACGATACACCTTTTCCTAACCAAGTAGAAGTTTGATTGTGACTGTAGGAAAGAAGAGTCATAGTCAGCACTGAAGCATCTTGCCCAGTCCTTTTGGTTGACTCTGTTGATCTACTCCTTAGACTTTATAGGAACCTGTGGAAACTTTACTCAAACACTTCTGTGTTAATGGGCTTCTCATATCTTAGACAATAAAATATCAAGTAATTTCTGGAGTGTCAGATGATTCTTCTAGTAGACATAGTGATTTCCTTTAATTCAGTCTAGCACCCTTGATTCATTTTTTTTACCTCTAGACTTGACCTGTTTCTTGAATTTAACCTTATACTCTCCATTCCCCCTTAACACCTGCTGAACATGTATCTATTGAGAGACCACCTTTAAAGTCAGCATATCATACATAGTTGACATTGCTTCTTGCAACACTTCTTAATAGTACCATGTTTTTTGTACTCACCAGATGCCATAAAATTTTGCAGTTAATTTTGACAATTTGCTCTGCCTCTTCCCCCCCCCCCATTCCTCATTAATTATCATGGTCAGACAATTAATGCTTTGGCTCACTTTGGTCTCTTCCTCTGCATTTTCACTACTGCTGAGATTTGAGCTCTTAGCAATTCTTATCTGAATTACTAGACTGGTGACATCTTTTTTTTTTTTTTTTTTAAAGATTTATTTATTTATTTTACACAAGAACTGGGGTATAGGTCAGAAGCACAGAAGGGTGAGAGAATTCACCAGAGCCAGAGCAGGTAGCAGAACAGGCAGATGGACCAAAGGAGAGGAGCAGTGGGCAAGGCAGGAGAGGTCTGCGCCATGTGGGGTTCTCCCTGGCTGGCGGGTAATTGAACTGGCACTGCAGAGGCTGTGGACAGCTTCGCAGCGCAGCGCTCAACCACTTCGCCTCAGGGGAGGCCCTAGACTGGTGGCATCTTAACTGACTTTGCCCTTCCAAACTCATACAGGGCAGCAAGGGGCACTGAGACTGGCCAAGGGCACTACCCACATAGTTTACTGGCCACTGTCTGAGTTTTTCACCCGTGTGCACAATTGCAAGACTACTCAGGTTCAGAGAACAACAATAGTGGGATTTATTTAACAAGCCAGGGAAAACAAAGAGTTGCTGAGGCCAAAAATGGCTGTTTACCTCACCCAAAGCAGTGTCCAGTGTTTTAAAGTCCTAAACACAAATGCTCCCAAGATGGTGTCTTCCTGCCATTGTGGATTTGGAGCACATGGCAGCCAGACTACAGGCTGGGTTTCAACTCACGAAGACAGTAGGAGACACAACAGGAGCTGCTCACCAAAGCCGCTGAGATGACCTGGCACAGCACCAGACAAGTGACACTCAACAAGCAGCTGCAGCAGACGAACGACCCAGCAAACAGCCCATACTCATGCAGTTCAGCAAGGTGACCTGCTCCATCTCTTTACCTTTCCTGCCAGGCTGTAACAGCAGCAAAAACATGAACAGTTTCAGTAGCTCAGCCACCTGCAAAGCCTCTGAACTTTTCCTTTCTGAGGGTGGCTACTGGAACCCTCTTCACGTTCTTCAGAGGCCCACAACAGCCTTTTGGAAGCTCGCCAGGGTGGGAGCAGAAATCGCTGACCTGGTATCGCTGAAGATCTGAAAATGCTGAAATCCCTAATGCTGAATGTTCAAATGCTGAATCCCAGAATATTGAATCCTGGGGGCTGCTTCTGCAGTACCTTATACTTCTTCTCAGAGTCTCCACCCCCATTGATAATTTGTTTGCATTTTGCCTGGGGCTATCCTTCCTTACCAGCACCCCCCTCCAGGGACCACCACCTGTAAGTCTTTGGCTTCAGCCATCAGTTAGTTACAAAACCATCCTACTTGCTACTTTCTACAGTTGAACACCAACACTTTTTGTTTTAATTATTTAAAAAAATTTTTTACAGCATTGTTCATTTTTAAACAATTTTTGCTTACCCCCTTCCCCCAGGTGTAGTACCCATAGAATTTCCTTCACCAGTGCACCATCACCACAATCCCCTGTGCTCTCCCTCGCTCCCTCTGATTCCTCTCCTTCCTCCTCCCCTGCAGGATGCCTCTGATTTATAATAGTCTGTTTTTGTTTTGTTGTAACACCAACACTTTGTGTTATTTCCCTGCTCATAAAACTTTTGGTTTCATCCCATTGAATGAAATCTTGATTTCTTAGCCTAGCATTCAAGTAAGAACCATAGTTGTATCTTAACTGCCTTTCTAGTCTTGTCTTCCTGAACAATCTCTTGATATTTACACCTATTCTCAAAAATGCCTTGCTTTCTTCCCACTATGGGATTGTTAACCTTCTGCTCTTAAATTACTCCTTTTTATTTAAATCTCATCCAATCTGTAAGATGCAATTGAAATTCTACTCTTATGAAGTCTTTTTTTTTTTTTTAATTTTTATTTATTTATTTATTTTTAAAGATTATTTATTTATACAAGCACTGGGTACAGTCAGAAGCGCGGGAGGATGAGAGAATTCACCAGAGCCAGAGCGGGGAGCAGAACAGGCAGAAGGACCGAAGTACACTGCTGAGGGGAGAAGCGGGCAGCAGGGGAGGTGGGATCCTCCTCTGGTGGCCGGGGAGCAGCTGGGGATCAAACCGGCGCTGCAGAGGCTGCGGGCAGCTTTGCAACCCAGCTCTCAACCGCTGCGCCACCGGGGAGGCCCTCTCTTATGAAGTCTTGATTTGTCCCCCCTTGAACTCTGAGCACATGCATGTCACAGTTAATCTTATAGTATTCTGACACTTCTTGAGTTACAATGAGCAGTGTCTCATCATTTTTTACAATGTAATACTAATTAAGTAGAATGTGCCTTCACATATACTGTGTCATCTGGTTCTTTAAAAGTCACATGTGGACAACGAGATCCAGCATTTGTTCTTTTTAATGAATGTTCATTATCCTATAGTAAAATTTGTAGATAATATAGACGTAAATTTTAAAAATTGACAATAAATTAATACAGTACAAAAAAGAAAAAAATTTGTAATGTTTTGAGTATTCAAATACTCAGCAAAAAATTGCACTCCAGCAAAAAACCAAACAAACAAAAACAACAAAAGCCCTTTAGATTTACAAACCCTACAACTTTACAGCTGTACTATGTACCCTTAGTTAGGCAATTTAACAAGACCAATCCTGATACATAATGTGATTAGTATATGAAATTGCAGCTGATGAATTGCTTTATTCCTTTCCCATGTAGTATGTGGTTAATATGACCTGAGTAGAAAATATAATATTTTGGGAGACAAAAATAGTATTTGTAAAATGGGTGAAATTTTTATTACAGGATGTTTAGCCTCCTGTTGATAATTCTTAGTTAAAAACATTTTTTGGAGGTTATGGAAATAATGTACTATGTTGACTGACTCCTTAATTTTAGGATATTGGTGTTTTATACAGTTTTGTTCCTACATGTGATTTCATGTTGTCATGGAAAACTATTTCGGCAGGCTGGAAAGGACCAAGGTTTTATTATTACAACACTAATGACACCAGATAGGAGAATTTTCTCCTGGAAAAATCTGGGCCCTGAACATACACAAAAGTTTCCTTTTATACTCGGTTATTTTAACATAGGTGTTACATGGGTAGATTACATTTTTGAAGATCATTTAGCCGAAGATGAGCAGAAAAGGGCTTTCGTGAAAAGGCATTCCCCCCTCCTCTTGGAACGCAGCCTTGTTAGTATAAAGACCAGCCATAAATGCATCAGACCAAAGGAGAATTTGCAAGTGATTAGGGATATCAAACTTGCTTTGTACCTGGGTTGGAATGTTTATCTAATGGGACTTTTACTGCATTCATTTGTTTACTGATTTTTCCCTTTCAATGTCACATAAACTATCTGGCTGCAAATACTAAGAAAAACCATTACAGTGGAATCAGGGGGATTAGGTTATCCAATAAAAGTTAAATTATTGCCTTGTTATAAGACTTCTTGGTTAGACTGTAATAACTCTGCAACCCTGCCCTGATTTTTTTCTTATACACAAAAGACCCCTTGGCAGAAACCAGTTATGAAACAGTATTTAAACTATAAGCCCAAGACTAAATCTTCTGTGATCTTAGTTTTTTTAAGTACTTACTCTTTATTCCTGTAGTGTCAAAGGTTTAGCTGAGAAATCTGCAGAAGTGATGCTTGACTGAGGAAAAACTCTTAAAACAGGAATATTTGTAGCTTTCTGGAAAGTTTTGTCTGTGCAGTTCTGCAGCTTCTAAAGGCATGCTGAGTCCTGATTGGGTCCATTCTGCACCTGATTGGGTGCAATTCAACATTCTTAAATGTGTGGTTGACTAGTCCACGTTATAACAATTTAAAAAAATGTGTTGTTATGGCATCCTGATTTGTAGAGAAAAATTGTGTGGTGAGATCAAAGTGCTTAACTTATTTTTAGGATATTTGTCATTGTAAAACTACTGGTTTTTCTTTTGCAGATTTTCTTGTGAAACCTTGTGATAGAAAATTTTCTTGGAACAAATTTCATTCGGTAAGCTTGTTTTGTTCCTCCTCCCTCCAACTGCTCTTTCTGTGCCATTTTGAGGTAGCAAAAAATAATTTACAGATTTGTTTGGGGTGTCTGTTGGTATACTTAATTATTTAAATGAGCTATTTATTGTATGTTTTCTTTGCTTGTAAATGTGGTGGGATTTTTTTTTTCAGTAGGACTCAAACCAGCTTACTTTTTGCATATGTAATTCCTTATGCTATAATATAGTCTACTGTATCTAAAAACTTGTATTTGAGACTAAGTGGGTTGTAGCCTAAATCTTTTTTTTTTTTTTTTAAGATCTTAACATCATGGATTTCTTCTTAATTGAAATTTGAATATTTTTTTTAATTTCCTTAAATTGTTACATACCAGTTTTAAAATCAAGGACTTGTTATTAGACTTAGAGGTACTAATATTACATTTAACTAATAAACAAGTTCTAAAAACTTTGCTAGTTCTGTCCCCTCTATGGGCATTAATCCTGTCTTGTCCTTTTTAAAAACATATGTGTATCTGTTACTGTATAATTCTTTATTACTGCCTCTTTTTCTGTTGTCTCTTTAAGAAATTACCTCATTTTAATGAAAATAGAAGTTGTTATGGTTTTAAGTTTTTATTTTTTTAGATCTTTTTAAAAAAAATATTTATTTATTTATTTATACAAGCACTGGGTACAGTCAGAAACGCGGGAGGGTGAGAGAATTCACCAGGGCCAGAGCGGGGAGCAGAGCAGGCAGAAGGACCAAAGTACACTGTTGAGGGAGCAGTGGGCAGCAGGAGAGGTCTGCGCGCCATGTGGGACCCTCCTCTGGTGGCCAGGGAGCAGCCGGGGATCAAACCGGTGCTGCAGGGGCTTCAGGCAGCTTCGCAACCCAGCGCTCAACTGCTGCGCCACCGGGGAGGCCCGGTTTTAAGTTTTTAAATGCAAGCAAATTGTTTTAGCTTGACATTGCTTTCAGAATGAGGACCAAGTACACCGTATCATGACATTTTAGACACTCTTTAGTCTTGGCATCTAGTCTTCTGTGTTGTACCCTCGCCACCCACCTTGCACCTTAGGCACCTTTTGCTGTAGCTGCACACTGACCTACATGTCTCTCAGATACTCTCCAATGTGCATTTTTTTGGGCATTGTCATTCTTGTTGTGCATTTGATGTTCTTTGTCACCCTTTATCTCAGTAGTTCAGAAGCTGGATGTGTTACAGGACAGGGAAAGGGGCACTCCAGAACCCCCAAACCTGCCTCCTCTAAATAGGTTCTGACACCTGCTGCATCATGCATCAAGACAAAATATATAAGACCTTTAATGGAAAGGAACTTTAATACAGTTAGTGTGCAATACAGAAAAGGTAAAGAATATAGTATCCAAATCAAGCACCTAAAGTCACCCATCCCCTTGTAGGTAAAATTGTGCTCAAACAGGGTTGGCCTAAAGCAGGGCCTCTGAGGTGCCACAAGTCTAAGGCACCTCCTGGCAGGAACCCATAGAAAAGGGTCAGAAACTGTTAGGCAAGTTTGGGATGAAAAGAGCAAAATCAAGATAAAAGCTGCCATTGTTAACTGCCCTGCAGGTCTCTTACCAACATCTGTTTCAACCAGTCCAGGACCAAAGCAGCAAGTGCAGCTTCTTCACATGTCTCTCTGCTCCATGTGTCTCCTCCAGGTCTTCTTGCTCTCCCCTCCTGCTTCCTTCCTTCTCCAGTCTCCTCTCCAGCTTCTTCTCTTCCCTGCTCAACTCCACCCTCCCTTGGTTGGGGCAGGAAACCTGGAACCTCCCCTTTTCCTTGGGACCACCTTGTTACAGATGGTTCACTATTAAAAGCTTGAGTGTTCCACAAAGCTTTCCTTGAGTGCCCAAATAAGAACCCATCTCTGTCTTTTGTACCCTCACTTAGTTATATTTCAGTATCTCTTATCACACCCTGCCTTATTATCTGTTGGGTTGTGAATATCTTTAAGGTAAGATCATATTTAAATTTTCAGTTCATACAAACATACCCTGAGTCCTAGGAAGCTAGTTTCTTCTCATTATAATTTCATTTTAATTAGGATTTTTATTTTTGGGGTGTGTACATGTGTGTGGGTGGTTTGGGTAAGAATAAGTGGGAAGACTAGATTATGTTCTTGTGGGTACTTTATTTTTTCTCTGCTATAGAGTGAAAGATTATATATAGTATATCTAATCTGTCTTTGTATTTCAAATTACTCAGTATCTCATGTGGTTGAGCAATTTGTTTGCAAGTATAACTTTTAGTTATTGAGTATAAGGAATTGAGCAATTCCTTCTTAACAGGTGAGAGACCATATTCAGTAGTAAGATTAAATAATGCATTACTTTGGTAAAAACTTCTTGTAATTACATTGGTAAAAATTTCTCTTAAGCCCCAACCCGGGGTTTGGGGTGGTATGGGAAAGTGGTACTGATGATCAAACCCAGAGAAGCCTGAAGATTATAGCTCTCACATTCTTCTGCATATATTAAACTAATTTTTTTTTTTTTAAATAGAGGCATGTTTTTATTTTATTTTATTTATTTATTTGTTTGTTTTTTGTTTATACATGCACTGGGTACAGTCAGAAACGCGGGAGGGTGAGAGAATTCACCAGAGCCAGAGCGGGGAGCAGAGCAGGCAGAAGGAGTGAAGGACACTGCTGAGGGGAGCAGCGGGCTGCAGGAGAGGTCTGCGCGCCATGTGGGACCCTCCTCCAGTGGCCGGGGAGCAGCCGGGGATCGAACCGGCGCCGCAGAGGCCGCGGGCAGCCTCGCAACCCAGCGCTCAACTGCTGCGCCACCGGGGAGGCCCCTTCTGCATATATTAAGAAAAGTGAAATCATTTGTTTCTGATGCTTAGAAATACTAAGTATTATTTGGCCCATTATAGACTTTTAGAAAAGGAAAGGTAATCCTAACATATTACTTTTCTCTGCAATATTTAATTTTTAAGTTTTACATTGCCATGATAATGTTTACTGATTTTTAACTTTGTAATTATTATTAACTTTAGATATAGCATGAAAGTCATTTGAAAAACAGAATTGTATATTTTTTGAAAGTTTAGATATAATAGACATGCAATTATTGACATTGCTAGTTGTCAGGTGTACAATATTTTTATATATATATTATTTTGCTATATACTTGCTATATAATATTATATGTGTGCTATATATAATATATATAGCAAAATAATCATCACAATAAATCTAGTTAATAGCCATCACCATTCCATATAATTTATTTTAATGATGAAAGCTTTTAAGATCTCTGAGCAACTTTAAAATATTCAGTACACTATTATTAGCTTTAGTCCCCATAGTCTACATTACTTCCCCATGATTTAAAAAAATTTTTAGCTGGAAGTTTTTAAACCCTTTTCTCCCATTTTGCTTGCCCCCACCCCACCCCTATTTCCCACCTCTGCATAAGAATTGGGGTAATAGATACAAGGACTAGTTCAGAGGTGTGTGCAAAGATGATTATTGTGGCTTTTTAAATTAACAAAAAATATCCAAGTGTCTCAGCAGAATTCATGGGCCAGTTATGATTATATTGGAATATAATGGATATAATTGCAATATAATATTGAACTGCCTCCTGAAAGCATGTACCAGTAAGGAAAGATTTGATACATTAGTTGAAGCAAAAACTTGCAGAACAATGAGTAACAGTAACACCCTCCCACTGTTTTTTGTTTTTTGTTTTTTCAGTTTCTTAGTATGTGTATAAAGAAGTGTTTGGATAGAATTATAAAATAGTTAACAATAGTTGTACTTATGTGTAGGTGAAATAAAGGACGCCAAAGAGTGAGAAAGGCAACTTATACTTACTTAAAAAACAAAAAACAGATTTGAGATACAATCCATCTGGTTCACATTTGACTCATTTAAAGTGTACAGTTCAGTGATGCAGAATACTCATGCAGCCATCAACACAATCAATTTCAGAACTTTTCATTGCTTCAAAAAATAACTCCAGGTTTTTTTCTTTGTTTTTTTCTTTTTGTTGAAGAAACTAAGACTGAGCAGATGTAGCCACTGACCTGGAGCAGCACTAGAATCTGGGAATAGGAGATTCAGAATTGAGTCTCTTCTCCCCACCCCGACTGGTCAAAATCACTTGAAATATCTAAGTTAATGGAACTTTGCAAAGTGAGATTTTTTTTGATCTCCAGGTACATTTTTCAGTTTTGTGAGGAATCTTATCATTAAAGACAATGGCCAGCAATACCATGAACTCCCATGCGTTGATTGGGAATCTTAATAATCTGATCAGTATGTTTTAATGTAGAGGCACTCTTCTTGAAATATGGTCAAATTGTCGGTTGCTTTGTTCATAAGGGCTTTGCCTTCATTCAATGTGTTAATGAGAGACATTCCCATTGCTGTGGCAGGAGAGGGTGGCAGAATGATTGCTGACCAGATTTTAGATATTCATCTGGCTGCAGAGCCAAAAGTGAACCAAAGAAAAGCAGGTGTGAAACAGTCTGCAGTGGAGGTTCCATGGCTTCTCCTTTGACATGGACTATGGCTTTCAGCAGGATTATTATGACAGGATGTACAGTTAACCAGCATGTGTTCCTCTTCCTGTTGCTTGGGCTGTAGTGTCCTTGAAATGCCAGCCTGTATCAGGAAAAATATCAGGAAAAGGCAGAAATGGCTTCAGTGCTAAGAGTGGATAGCAAGGATCTCCTTCCAAGTCTGGAAAGTTGAAAGGAGATGACCTTCAGACCATTAAGAAGGAGTTGACCCAGGGCCTCCCTGGTGGCGCAGCGGTTGAGCGCTGGGTTGCGAAGCTGCCCGCTGCCTCTGTAGCGCCCGTTCGATCCCTGGCTGCTCCCTGGACACTGGGGGAGGGTCCCACATGGCACGCAGACCTCTCCTGCCGCCCGCTGCTCCCCTCAGCAGTGTACTTCGGTCCTTCTGCCTGTTCTGCTTTCCGCTCTGGCTCTGGTGAATTCTCTCACCCTTCCGCGCTTCTGACTGTACCCAGTACTTGTATAAATCAATCAATCAATCTTGTATAAATAATAAATAAATAAATCTTTAAAAAAAAAAAAAAGGAGTTGACCCAGATAGCACAAAAAGTGTGTTCTCTACTGGAAAGCCTGGGAAAAAAAATTGAAAAGAAACAGAGCAAACTAGGAGCTGGTGTTGATCAAGGATGATGAAAAAGAGGCTTAGGAAGGAGAGGATTACAGAGACAATGCCAATGGCAGGATGACATTTAAGCACATAGTGGGTTTAGAAATCATGTCCCATTATTTCTTTATCTGGGGGCTTGTCTAAGATCAAAATTTTCACCATGTCCTTTCCCCTAGTATCTTCAGTACATGCACAATTTCTTCCCATCCTTGTTCTTCCCATTTTCATTAATTCATATTGCTCAGCAGCTAGTCTTTCTTTTACTTTCTTTGATGCTCCTAGTAGTTACGTTACATCTTACCCTGTAATTTTTGTTTTTAATTTTTCATATATCTTTATAACCTAACAATAAAAAGGATATACGGGTTGTTATCAACTCTCTCCAAAATCTCTTTTTCTGCACAGAGTACAATCCTTTCCATTCATACATGAGTTCGCTAGTTGTTTCCCTAACTGCAATGCGAACCTCATTAGTTGAGTAGCACCTGAGAGCAGCTTTGAGTTAGAATTGTGTATTATACCCTATAGAAATGTATTATGTGAGGCTGGTTAACACAAATTTAACAGTGTATTTTTGTGAATGAGAGTTAGCATCCTCTAGAAAAATAGTTTAATAGTTTTAAGATTTGTTTTCTAAAGTTGATTCTGTGGGGTTTTTTTTGTGAATAACCTAATGTTTCGTACTTTTTCTCTCAAACAAGTTCTTACTAAACCAGGAATTAGGACCAAAAAGAAAAAAGTCCAAACCTTTCAAGCTTTCACCCTAGTTGTAATGGGATTTAGTTTCTAATTTGGTGTCATTGCAGGTCAGTAAGTTTCAGTTGGGACAAGTAAATCTGTGATGCCTATGAGAATTTTTCCTTAAACTTACTAAATAAATTTTTTAAAAGATAATGCACATTGATACATTTACTGTATAAATAATACTGGAGTTCTAACAGCTAAAACTTTTCCACTCATTAGATTGGTTCTTCAATAATTGGGGTTTATAAGACAGAGAGAGGAACTCTCATTATGTTAAACTGTTAAGTGAAAATTTCAAACATATTAAGATAGAGAAAATTGTTCAATAAACCCCCAATTCTTATCTCACTGGTCTTCAAAGTTACCAATTCATTGCCTATAGATACTCCTCATTTTACCTATTCCTTGGTATCACTTCTTCTGTTCATATTTCAGTTAAACTTAAAAAACACATAACCACAAACACAAAAATCCAACCATAACTTCAACTTTACAGAAAATTAATAATAATCGTTTAATATCATCATATATTTAGTGCATGATCAGATTTCCCTAAATGTCTCAATTTATTGTGATACTTTGACTCAAGATCTAAATAAGGCTAATATGTTATAGTTGGTTCATATGTTACTTTGTCTTTTTTAATCTATAGGTTTCCCTTCATCTTTATTCTTGCAGTTTATTTAAAGAATTTATTTTCCTGTAGTTTTCTATAGACTAGGTCATTTTTTGTATCCTTTATTTCATTAGTAGTTATACAGTGGTGATATCTGTTTCTGTCTTCTATATTTGGAGGGATACTTCATCAACTAAACTTGATTCAGCTTTTAGGAAAAGATGGGATAAATATTCTCTCCCCCCGCTCATCAGTTTTCCAAAAAAAAAAAGAGGTTGGTTATTTAGCATTCTCCAGTGGTGACCAGAGAAAGATACGAGCTCACATTTTAAAAAAACATTGACTTATTTCACTGAGCATAATCCCTTCCAGCTCCATCCATGTTGCTGCAAATGGCATGAGTTTGTCCTTTTTAATTGCTGAGTGGTATTCCATTATGTCTATGTCACATCTTGATCCATTTATCTATTTTTGGGCATTTAGGTTGTTTCATACCTTAGCTGTTTTAAATAGTGCTACAATAAACATATGAGTGCAGGTTTCCTTTCAAGTTAATGTTTTTGTGTCCTTTGGGTAGACTGCTAGGAGTGGAATTGCTGGTCAAATGGTAGATCCATTTTTAATAATTTGAAGATTCCTCACAGGGCTTTCCATAGTGGTTGGACCGGTTTGCATTCCCACCAGCCATGTAAGAGGGTTCCCTTTTCTCCACATCCTTGCCAGCATTTGTTGTTGCCAGTTTTTTTTAATATGGGCCATTGTGAGGTGGTATCTCATTGTGGTTTTGATTTGCATTTCCCTGATTATAAATGATGTTGAGCATTTTTTCATGTATCTGTTGGCTATTTGCAGTTCCTTTTTGGAGAAGAATCTTTTTAGTTTGCCCATTTTTTGACTGGGTTGTTTATTTTTGTTATGTAAGCTTTTTGTAGATCTTTGACATCAGTCCCTTGTCAGTTGTATGGAGTACAAATGTTTTTTCCCAATCTATGGGGTGTGTCATCATTTTGGTTATTGTCTCTTTTTCTTTACAGAAGCTTCTTAGTTTGTAGTCCCAACTGTTTCTCTTTTCCTTCATTTCCTTTGCTTCTGGGGATGAGTCCTCAAAGATGTTTCTGAGATGTATGTCATGGAGTGTTTTGCCTATGTTTTCTTCTATATATTTTATGGTATTAAGTCTTATATTCAAATCTTTTATCCATTTTGACTTTTTGTGTACAGTTTGATAATTTGCATGTAGCATTCCAGTTTTCCCAACAACATTTATTGAAGAGACTATCCTTGTTCCATTGCATGTTCTTTGTTCCTTTGTTGTAGATTAGTTGACCATATATGTGTGGCTTTATTTTTGGGTTTTCGATTCAATTCCATTGGTCTGTGTGTCTTTGTTCCAGTACCATGCTGTTTCAATTATTATGGCTTTGTAGTAGAGCTGAAGTCTGAAAGTGTAATACCTCCATTCTTCCTTCTTTTAGTCAGGACAGCTTTGCTATCAAAGGTTTTTTGGTGATTCCATATGCATTTAAACAATATTTGGTTTATTTCTTTGAAGAATGCCATTGAGATTGTTATTGGAATTGCATTGATTCTGTAAATTGCTTTTGGTAGGATGGATGTTTTGAAAATGTTAATGGCTCCCTTACATTGCTCTCTAAGAATTTACTTTGAATATTAAACTCAGATACCACAAAATAACTTGTATCATGGCAGTTTAGCAAACCAGAAATGCTGGCTTTGAGTGAAAATAATTTATTTTTTTTAAAAAGTGACTTACTGAAAGATGATAGTGCTCTTACTCTAGTCTGTCTTGACTTACTATTTGGTTACCTGCACCTCCCCCCACTTCCTTGTTTTAAAAACCAGGTAAAAAAGGTATGAGTTTTCAGATAAACGATTTAGGATTGTGGAGAGCAATAGGCAATTATAAAAAAAATTTATTTATTTAGCATACAAGAGCTGGGGGGTAGGCCAGAGGTGGGGGCATGGTGAGAGGATTCACCAGAGATGGAATGGGGAGCAGAACAGGTGGGACTGACTGAAATACACTGCTAAGGGGAGAAGCAGGCTAGATAGGAGAGGTCTGCTGTGCCATGTGGGTAGCTCCCTGCCCGGGGATCGAACTCGTGCTGCAGTGGCTGCAGATAGCTTCATGGTGCTGAGACTTAACCCCTGCGCCACCAGGGAGGCCCAATAAGGCAATTTTTTAATATTTTGTGCACTAAACCAGTTTGATTTCCACAGAAAGGGAAAATGTATTTTCGAATTTAGAGATAACCACATTTTTTGAATTATTACAAGAAAATTTTCGTACTTACAGGTTAGTTTTATTATTGCTTTATTGTTTTGATCTGTATATAAATTATAAACAATTGTATAATTGTGTTACTTTCAACATTTGTTAACTATTTTGCCCAAATAAGATTTTCACAAGGAAAGGTATTATGGAGTTTGGATTTGACTAGTGGAAATTACCTGAGTAGTAATTCACCTTCTTAACTGACTGTGGTCAGGTCTTTAGGTTCATGCTTTATGTAGTTCCTTTAATTAGAGTATGACAAAGTGGAGGGAAAATTAATGCCAATTTTGTCCTTTAAAAAGAAATATTCTTTTTAATGATGCAGGCGTAAAGAAAAGGACCTTGCCAGACACTGACGAAAGGACGGGGATCTCCTCCTAATCTGGGCCTCCTGTCATGGTAAGTACAAGGACATAACAAGAAAATTGGATTTGAACTCTGTCCTGACAAGTGAGCACTAAGTGTAGGTCCATTGTTACCCATTTTTGTTTTTGTGAAAAAATCATTTAGGGTTCAAAACTTTTCTTGTTTCCTTTTTAAAATTTCTTACTTAGTAGTAATAATTGTGAAGTATTTTCGTGTGTAGAAAAATTTCATTTCTATTAACGTTAGTCCTGTGAGTTAGATATTGTCTCTTTTTAGTAAGGTAATAAGCAGAATCAGGTTTCTTACTCCTTTTCTAGGAAGCAAAATGTAGTGAAAACTGTGTGTGTGTGTGTGTGTGTGTGTGTGTGTGTGTGTGTGAGTGTGTGTGAGAGAGAGAGAGAGAGAGAGACAGAATGATAGAGAGAAAGGGGGGTATGGTAGGGTCATATACACATTCTTTATGAATGTATCTTTCTGGATAGAAACAGTTTCTTGTCCTCCCTATTTTAAGGCAATATTTGTATTCTCAAGAAGGTGAAGCACTTTTGCTGCCTACATTTTTGACTGAGAGGAACATATAAAAGACATTTCAGTCATTTGTGGACCATTTAGGTTCCAGTTCAGGCAGAGAAAATGGAGCAATGTGCCAGCCACATTTGCATCATTCCTGAGACTATGTAAACAGTGCTTCAAGGCTTGAAAAAAAGAAATGGTCCTCTGTAATATTGTCCTGCTTCTACCTTCTGATGTTTCCTGGACCCAGGCTGTTTCATACTGGTGCACAAAGAAGGAATTGAAGAGACCATGTTAATTTCAAGCCTCATTAGGGACATGGATAGAAAATGCTTTACAAAATTAAAAGCAAAGTAAAACAAAACAGAAAAGCTCATTGTGCAGAAATGTCATATTAAGAGAAAGCTTAGTTTGTGGGCGTTACAAATTTGCCATGTATCCTATACCCAAAAGCGCTTTTAAAATTTTAATATTTCTTTGAGATATATTATATTGGTTTTCCCAGTTTTTAATGAGTTGAAAGCATTTGCTTAGTATTTTTATGCTATGTATGCCAGTGCTAATGAATAGCAAATGATGGACTTATGAAAGGCGTTCTGTTCTTTACTTATGGGTTGCCCATGACTATACCATATAACTAGCAACAATGTGGTCCTCACCGTGGTGCTGCTGGCTTCTCTGTGGTGCCCTGCTGATAGTCTCCTTGTGTGCTTTATAGATGCTTTTGTGTTGCAGTAGTTGGAGAGCAATATGACCATGTCTTTTTTTTCCATTTCTCAATTTCTCATTAAGACAGCATTATAGCAAGTTTTTACAAATACTCAGTTTATATTCTACCCCTAAAACCTATGGTTGTATTCCTTTCTAGTCCATGTATTATCTATAGTTGGAAGTAAGACAGTTTTCTGTTTTACTTATTTCAGAATGAATGGAACACTTTTCAGTTGATTTCAGTTTGCTATATTGAATTCCCAATAGAGAAAATTGTTAGTTTTTCTCTGTATTTTGTAAGTTGCTGAACCAGTGATTTAATATCATCCAATTAATATATCCTATGGTTTAAACATTTAAGTTGTGTTCTTTTGTATAGAAAATTCAGGAGCACTGAATTTTTCTTTTTCTTTTTTAAAAAAATATACTTCTGTACATCTTCTCCTTATACTTCTAGAAGTTCTTAAGTGAGATTGAAGGCTGTCTTTTTTATGGAAGTTAAACATTAAGCATTAGGAAAATGTTTTCTTTTTTATTTATTTATGCATACAAGAACTAGGGCCAGGCTAGAGGTGTGGGGGATGAGGACCCACTAGAGACAGAGTGGGGAACAGAACAGGCAGACAGACCCGAACACACTGCTGAGGGGAGCAGCAGGCGAGTCAGAAGAGGTCTGCTGCCCCATGTGGGCAGCTCCCTGGCTGGGGATCGAACTCATGCTGCAGTGGCTGTGGGTAGCTTCAAAGGTTGCGTCCCAACCCCCTGCGCCACCAGGGAGGCCCAGGAAAATGTTTTCTTTTGGAAAATCTCAGACCTGAACAAAGAGAGAATAAAATAATGAACCCTCATGTAATTTGTCAATGAGCTACAAGTAATCATCAGTTTGTAGTCACACTTTTTTCTTCTGATTCTCTACACCATCTTTGGATAATTTTGAAACAAACCCCAAGCATTGTATCAAGGGAGAATGTATTTCTGGTGGTCTTTGATACCAACTTAAGAAGAGTGACTATGATTGACCATGGGACTGATAATTACTTTCACTTTTACATTTTGCAAAGTGGTCTTATATGCATTTCACTCTTAGAAGTAGACAGGGCTTTTTAAAATCCTAGAACGCTATATGTGGATTTAGTTAACAGTCATTTGAGCAATCTCTGCTCCCCTGTGTTCTTTCAATATTTCTGACATTGACTTCCCTTCTGAGGAGTGGACTTAAACCTGCATAGTTTAACCAATAGCGGAAACTTAGCATAGAACTGTGGTGACTAATCCCTTTTCAGGGTTTTGCAGGTCACCCCACTGACCTTAAAGATTGAAGAGACTTGAGAAGTGCCAGATTCCATGACATTTGTGATGTTCCTTAGCAATTCAAGGAAATTGACCATACGGTTATGGTCTTATAGCCTAGGAGAAATTTGTTTCTAAGTCTCTCATCTGGTCAGTACTTCCCAGTTTGTTTCTTCCTTCCCTTTATCTCCTAGTTTCTTACTCTATCAGCCATCTCAAGTTTGAGCTCCTTTTTCAAATGTGAAGCTCAGAAACTGTAATGAATTAGACACTTTTAATTCAGCTTATATTAGACGAGTAATGTTTTTTGAGTTACTGTTGTTCCAGAAGTCATTGAGTAGTTTGTCCTAATGTTAAGTCCTTAGGGATTAAATGCATTTTTATATACAAGGACGAAAAATTAATTTTCCTTAAAGGTAATGTGAGCTTAGATAATCTTTTTAAAAGAACATTGATTTGGTCTCTGAAAAATGACATTATGTTCTTATCTTGCTGACCTAATTCTCAGTTCTCTTATGTTGAAAATTATTTCATTTTCAGCCACTACTTTGGTTATATACACTGGTCTAGATTAGCACTTGAGTGATTGTGCCAGCAAGAGTAAATTGGTAAGGGGCCTCCCCGGTGGCGCAGCGGTTGAGCGCTGGGTTGCGAAGCTGCCGGCGACCTCTGCGGCGCTGGTTCGATCCCCAGCTGCTCCCCGGCCACTGGAGGAGGGTCCCACATGGCGCCCAGACCTCTCCTGCCGCCCGCTGCTCCCCTCAGCAGTGTACTTTGGTCCTTCTGCCTGCTCTGCTCCCCGCTCTGGCTCTGGTGAATTCTCTCACCCTCCCGCGCTTCTGACTGTACCCAGTGCATGTATAAACAAAGAAACAAACAAACAAACAAATAAATAAATAAAGCATGCCTCTATTAAAAAAAAAAAAAAAAGAGTAAATTGGTAGGGCCTCTCTGGTGGCGCAGCGGTTGAGTGCTGGGTTGCGAAGCTGCCCGAAGCCTCTGTGGCGCCAGTTCGATCCCTGGCTGCTCCCCAGCCACTGGAGGAGGGTCCCGCATGGCGCCTAGACCTCTCCTGCCGCCCGCTGCTCCCCTCAGCAGTGTACTTCGGTCCTTCTGCCTGCTCTGCTCCCCACTCTGGCTCTGGTGAATTCTCTCACCCTCCCGCGCTTCTGACTGTACCCAGTGCTTGTATAAATAAATAAATAAATCTTAAAAAGAAAAAAAGAAAAAAAAAGAGTAAATTGGTAAGTGACTTCCTTTTTTTCAAATGGCCACCTTATTTGAGTTTTGTGCTATTTTAAAGATCAGTAAAAAATTGGATTATGGACCACTTAAATAATGGGTGTCTCTTTAAAGTCATCTTGAAGAGAGTAAGAATTTGAGCTGTGAGATAAAAAGTTAATGTGTGCTGAGAAGGCATTTCTCAGAGTGTACTTTTCTCATTTCATAACATTTCTTATCTATCCCCTATTGATTTATAAGAAGGGTCTCTCTAAATTCAAGATTCTTCATATTTTTTAAGTTCAAAGTGAAGCTACTCAGTGTTTAAGTCAAGAGCTAGCTCTTAAGAATGGAAATAAAATTGGTTAAAAAGAAAAAAAACCTAACAGAAGAATGAATGCCTTTCAAACATTACTGTATCCCTATTATTCCTTCACCCAAACATTGATCTTAGAGGAAATGATTGGAAAGGGATGAAATGAAACAGATTGATAGAAAACTCTTCATCTAACAATCATTTTGGTGTTTACAGGACTGAAGCTATTTATAAACTTTGTAATTATATTTTTGGAGGCACCAAGCCACACATATTAACCTTACTACAATGCATTATTAATTTTTTTTACTTTAAGAAACTGAATAGATTTATATAGTTTGCTTTGGAATTATTTGGTTGTAAGCTATAATTTCTTGACAATCTTCATGAATACCTAGCAGTCTTAAGAAGTTGAAGCTATTAACATACTGCTTGTTTCCAAATATAACAAAAGTATTTAATAATTGCTGAAATTTGGTAGTTTTGCATAGAATTTTATGCATGAACCATTTATAAAGTCCTCATACTTTCATTTTTAGAATTTGAAGCCACTAGCTTCTTTCTACATTTTAAATATTAGACTTCTTAACGGACCCTTGAAAAGCTCATGCCTCAAGATTAAATGGCCCATTATAGAGCATGGAATGGGCCCAGTCAGCTTGTAGCTAAGATGCTGGTTTTATGGGTGGTAAATGGGTGATTTTCATTCAAGTTTTACTATGGCTTTTCATGCCGTAGATGAACACTAGGGGAATGGTTTCAGAGAAAATCTGACTTCAAGTGGAACAGTTTTAACTGGGTATTTGAATTGAAGCATAGTGACCAGTAATTCTCAAACTATTTTGGTCTGAAAATGCTTTGTATATTCTTAATTCGTTGAAGACCCCAAAAAGTTTTCATTTATATAATGTCTGTCACCTATATTTACTAAATTAGAAATTAAAGCTGAGAAGTCTTCAAAATGTTCCTGTATTCATTTTAAAATAACAGTTACAAACTAACGAAATATGAATATTTTGAATAACAATATTGGGCTTAGTAGTTAATAGGTGAATTCTCATTTACTTCTGCATTCAATTGGTTAAAATATGTTGTTTGAAATTTATGAAGTAAATCCAGTCTCACACATCTATGTAAAAGAGTATTCTAATAGTTTTTCTATATAATTGTTTATATTTTTCCTGCTATATTATACCAAAACTTGACAAGTAGTAGTTCTTTAAAGCGAAGTTGCAATGAGGAATCTGAAATGATATTAAACTTTTTATATTCTGTTACATTAAAACCATTGGCTGTCTTGAACTTTATTTTATTTTTTAATATTTTCTTTTTAAAGATTTATTTATTTATTTATACAAGCACTGGGTATAGTCAGAAGCGCGGGAGGGTGAGAGAATTCACCAGAGCCAGAGCGGGGAGCAGAGCAGGCAGAAGGACCAAAGTACACTGTTGAGGGGAGCAGCGGGCGGCAGGAGAGGTCTGCACGCCATGTGGGACCTTCCTCTGGTGGCTGGGGAGCAGCCGGGGATCGAACCGACGCCACAGAGGCTGCGGGCAGCTTCACAACCCAGCGCTCAACCACTGCGCCACCGGGGAGGCCCTGTCTTGAACTGTAAATGGATCTTTATCCATGCATGATTTTGTGACATTACACATTGGTATTTTGAAAATAATGATTAGGTAATAAAGATCCTTCTAATGTAGACATTTCACTAGGTAAGTTCTTTTAAAAATCACATTCAGTACTATGACCACTGATCTTTTTAGAAAAGCATTGGGGAGCTGGAAGTTCATGGTTCCAGATAGATGTTCCAAGATTCTAATTTTTGCACAATAGCTTTATTGTTGGCAGTGAATAATGCCTTTGGTGAAAAGATCTGCCAAATGCTCTAGTTGAATTACCATAATTTATCAGTTCTTTCAATTAAAAATGGTACTTAATGAAAAAGTAGCCAGTTCAGCAAGTGAAACACTTGTTCACAGACCTTACCTTACCTATTGAGTCAACCACAATAATTAGTATGCAGTAGGAGTGTTTCATGTGTTTTTCCTATATAGAGACTTTTAACAGTCAAAATTTAATAAAATTTATCATTTTCTCCTCTTTATCAGTGGCATTCTGAGAGAAATTAGTACCACCACCTTGATTATACTAGGTGCCAGCATTTTTACCTGTGATTTCTTTTTGCATTGTTATTATGAAGGTCATTTCAGTTAGAAAAGGCAAGTAATGTCTTAGCATTATTATGAAAGTGGTTTTGACCATATAGAACCCCTGAAGAGGTCTCAGAATATGCAGACCTCACTTTAAGCACCATGTTAGTAGAATATTACTGTGTTATGGTTAAGGATGATTTTGTGTAAAACTGTGTTACTTATAGGTAAGACTTTTTCTCTGAGAAAGTATAAAGAATTGTCGGAATTATAATAAGTAGCATATGTGAAAATGTCCAATATCTGGAGGTTATAGTTAGTGCTCAGTGGAATGTGATACTTTTGCTTTTATAAAATTTGGTGTTACTATGGGGGGGGTGCGTAGGAGGGATTATGGTCAAAATAAGGGGGGTGGGAATTGTATGGGGACTATAACCAAGATGAAAAAGCATACATTGTGCAAAAATGAAAAATGATGTAAAAAATATATAAAATAAAATATAAAAAACATACTAAAAAACTAAAATTTGGTGTGTAAAGCGATTTAATCATAATTATTTTCCCATCATAATTTATAAAGTCATACTTTCCATTTGATTACACTACTCCTGTTTTTCTATGCCATAAATATTATGTAAAAGACTACTTTTAAAATACAAATTATAATTAGTTGAATTAAGTGCCATTGAGATTAGAGTTTATTGCTGCTGCTTTTGAAATTGCCTTACTAGAAATAAACCTATTTTGTAATTTAAGAATAAATCAAGGATAATAGTTGATACATTTTGGTTTGGTTGTTAAGCTTACATTGAAAATAATTTATTATGGAAATTTCAGGTATAACCAAAAATAGACACAATGATATAGTGAACTCCCGCTTAACCAGTTTCATCAGTTACTGTTCATGGACATTTGTTCCATTTGTACCTCACTCATTTTCTCTCTTTTTTTTTTTAAAAGATTTATTTATTTATACAAGCACAGGGTACAGTCAAATGCGCAGGAGGGTGAGAGAATTCACCAGAGCCAGAGCGGGGAGCAGAGCAGGCAGAAGGACCGAAGTACACTGCTGAGGGGAGCAGCGGGCGGCAGGAGAGGTCTGCGCGCCATGCGGGACCCTCCTCCAGTGGCCGGGGAGCAGCCGGGGATCAAACCGGCGCTGCAGAGGCTGCAGGCAGCTTCGCAACCCAGTGCTCAACCGCTGCGCCACCGGGGAGGCCCTCACTCATTTTCTCTTTACCCTTCCCCCTACACTTTTTTTTTTTAAGTATTATTCCTTTATTATAAGATTTTTATTTTATTTATTTTTGCATAGAAGAACTGGGGTGTAGGCCAGAGGTGCAGGGGGTGAGAATTCACCAGAGACAGAGTAGGGAGCAGAACCGGCGGATCCACTGAAATACGCTGCTGAGGGGAGCAGTGGGTGAGACAGGAGACAGTGGGTCTGCTGTGGGTGAGACAGGAGACAGTGGGTCTGCTGTGTCATGTGGGTTGCTCCCTGGCCGGGGATCAAACTCAGGCCTCTGCCTGGAGGGCTGTCATGGTGTTGACTCTGACTTAACCCCTACACAATGGGGAGACTGACTACACTTAAAGTGAATCCCAAACCTCACATCATTTCATTCTTAAATAATTCAATATGTAGCTTTCAAAAATAAGGACTAAAGGTAGTAACTTCAAGAGGAAAATAATCACATTATCTTAGTTTCTCATAACAAGTCATGTACCAGCAACTTGTTAGTTTTTTTTATAGAAGTGTTCTTTCAGGGCACAGGACCTCTTTGCCTAGGTATTAGAAATACCTAACAGATTAGATGAAACACTTTGGAGGATGATGAATATTTTTTTCCTTGAGCTTTTTGCTTATTGATCTTAGTCATTGGACTTTTCAATTTGATTATGTTCCTAGATGTAGAAAAATCAATATGAATGATTAGGAGGTTTGAAGTTATTTAAAGATTTTGGATTTTTCCAGGATGAAGAGACTCGGCACAGTCTTGAGTGCATCCAGGCCAATCAGATCTTTCCCAGGAAGCAGCTGATCCGGGAGGATGAGAATCTTCAGGTAATTACAGGTTACCTTTGAATGTAAAATACTTAGCATCATGATAGCAATGTAGCAGAGCTAATGGAATGAAGTAATACACTGTGTGTTTTTTCCTAAACCATACTCATAGTAGAAATGAAAGTTTAAAAATCTCTCACCTTATAGAAAGACTGTTTTCTGAGAATCCATTGAGTAATCACATCTGTTATTACTTCAGTAGTCTTGAATTTGAATAACTATGTATACTTAGATCATGTGGTTCTTTCGGTCCACTACCTATTTATGCACTATGTTTTGTTTGAGATGGGATCCATGTGAAGATTTTGCTTTACTGCTTCAGAACTCTGAAGAGTTTCTTCTGTTTTGAAGGTTCCTTTCCTTGAACTTCATGGAGAAAGCACAGAATTTGTAGGCCGTGCTGAGGATGCCATCATTGCCCTTTCTAATTACAGACTTCACATCAAATTTAAAGAGTCTCTTGTTAATGTAAGTGGTTACTAATTGTTCTCCCTCTAAAGTAAGTGGAGAAGGGACATGTGAAAATGTAGTATGCTTTTCTCTCACTTTCTTTAGGACTCAGGACACTAGGTTAGGAGGAACTTTTACACTTGATTTTAAATGATATATGTAGTTGTCAGCTGAGGTGTCCATTCTTTAGTAACACTGAATGACTTGTACTAGGTAATGCTGTATCATTAAGCTTTATGAGGGTACAAAGGCTTTTATTCCTCAGTCTTAAGTAGTCACCAGCTGCCTCAGTTGAGATAATTTCCTGAACCTTAATGTCAAATGATGAGATGTACTTTGAGCTCAGTGCAGGTACTTATTATAGGGTGAAGTTATTTTAATAGCTTAGTAGTGTAAGTATTGATGTTAAGTACAATGTTTATTTGCCTAATGGACTGTATGTATTGCTGAAGAAAAGGAAGGCTGTCAGTTCTCAAGAGTACATTTACCCTTTTCAGCTGGGAGGGTACACTTAGTGAATTAGTTTTTGAAGTGCACTGCATCATTAAGAGTTTTCAATGAAATGACAAAGACATAAAAATTCATGTATTTTCACCAAATGAACACCTCCTTTGCTTGCCAGTATTGTGACTTTTTTGCACTTTGGTTCTAGCAACAGATACGTGTGTTGTGACATTAATGAAAGTTCATATAAAATGACTATACTTTTATTCAGAGTGTGTGTTTTGGCTTCATTTTGTAATTCTTTGAAATTTGTCACCTCAGTTCATTTTATTCAGTGGTCCAAAAGTTACCAGACAGATTCATTGTTCTTTCCTTTGTCAAAAAGACTCAAGTGGCAGTCATTTTCTTTACAGTTGACATTTATTATTTATGTATATGTGTGTATGTGTGTATATATATATGCCGTATTCTTTGTAGTTAAGCTTTTAGATCTAGGAGCTGTCTGGCTTCTAGATTTGGGCTACCATTATTGCTATTCCATTAGTTTTCTGTTCATCAGCTAAAGACACATAAGATTCATTAAAGAAAAAGGTATGCTGTGCTTTTATACCATGTAGAACTATGTTCAGAAGAACCTATTTGGAACTGGGTAGTCTTGATAGGATGGAAACTCTTAGAAATTCCAACAACCAGAAATCCCGTTCCAGCTATTACTAGCAAAGTAATGACAGAAATAATTAGTAGAACTGCTGAATTTAATTTTGTGTTTAAATAGCTGGGATCCATGAAATACTAACTAAATTGCATGTGGGGAATGATAAACATATCACTACACACTTTTCCTACTGTCACCTGTTTCTGAGCTTACTGGTTTATGGCTAAGTATTTCAGAGACTGTTTATAAATATGTTTGGGAATAGGGTCTGTGGAGAGAGATCATGTTGGATTTGATCATATCATTCACCAAAATCCTTCAGTATTTCTTTTGTTTGTAAGATTAAATTACTTAGCATGCCATTGGTCTAAATGGTGTGATACTTGGGCCCTGCCAAATTTTCTGATTCTTTTCTTTCCCCTTTCTTTCCATTGTATTAGTAAGACTACTCTCTTGGAACTATTCAGCCACATCTCACATTTCTGGGGTCTTTCTTTTTTTCTAGCCCAGGGACTATGTCAAAACAGATTCAGATGATCACTTCTTGTATGAAGCCTTTATTGGTCCCAGTTCCTTCCCTGACAGTTCATTATACTCTCCTGGTTTCTTTTTCTTGAACACAACTTTACAGTATATATCAGATATGTTACAATTTTTCAATTCATTTTTGTATCTTTAGGATCCAGCATGTCTCTGATGCCATGGTATTCAGTAAATATTAAGTGTGAATGAGGTTAATAAGGCTTTGAAATGGATATTAGATCATTTTAAAACAACCTATTTCTGTGTGAATGGGCCTGTTTCATTATTATATCTCGCAGCAACTGTTTGAGTAGATAATTTACTGAAATTGTTGGTCTCCCATTGTGAATATGACACATGCTTATGAAAACTTACCACTGTTCTTTCTGAGTCATTTCCTCACCTAAAGGTGTTTTCTCAGCATTTTAGCTCTCCAAGGCATGGAACCCACATGTCACTTAAAAAGTCCAAAATAATGACTTTGAATAGATAATATTGCAGTGACTTTAAACATTTCAGATTGAGAGACTGGAAGTTCTCCATAGAAATAAATCACATTAGTTAGTGCTAAGGTTCTTAAAACCTGTGGTTACTCCAAGAAACAATGTTTTTTTCTATACTGGATCCTGAATGTAGACCAGAGAGAGTTGGTGTTGCACCTTCCTCTTTCCCTCCCTTAGCAGAGAAATATTTCAGTAAAATATGTGCAATCATGATACCTCCCTTAAAGGTTATTATATTAAATCAAACACATTTCAACTCTCCAATCCCATATATGCCAGTATATATTGCTGCATCTCCTACTTTGCATCATTTCTGTATGCTTTTAAATCAATACATTTAGCACTTTAGAAATATGACTTAATCATCATGTTTTAAATATCTACTTGATATCATATATTCTATTAATTTCATAGCACATTGAGTAAAATGTGTCTGTAGATACAGATACTATAGATACCATTAATTTAATCCATACACATTCAGCGAATAGCAAGTTACCAGTTCCTAGAGTAAAGAACCTCTGTGGTAGAGTTCATTTGTAGTATTTAATGTTTGAACTGCTTCCATTCTGTGCTTTTCCAAAACTGTAATTTTACATAAATGCAAGTATGTTTCTTTGATGCTTAATTTATAAGCAAATGTTCAAGTGGAATTCATGAAAGTGTAACACTACTTTTTGTTGTGTAATTCAATAGACCACCTCTCAATCTGCTGCTTTTGAAATCCCAGTAAGTAACTGAGAATCCTAGGAAATTACTGCACTTGTGCTTGGAATAAGTTGGTTTTGAGTGTCAGATATTCACCTTGCAAGTCAGCAAATTTATTCTCTGCATGAGTCCCTTCCCTCTTACTAGACAAAGTTCTGGTAGTACTCTATAATGAAAACTGTTCATGGGGTGAGAATAAAGCCCTCATCTCACCTCATCTCACATAAACAGATAGAATGATAACCCTCAAAAATTAGAAACTGTGGCTTCCCTTGTGGTGCAAGGGTTAAGTCTTAGCACTATGAAGCAGTCGGCAGCCAAAGCAGCATGAGTTCCCCTGGCCAGGGAGCTAACCCACAAGGCGCAGCAGACCACTCCTGTCTCACCACTACTCCATTAAGCAGTGTATTTCAGTCAGTCCACCTGTTCTGCTTCCCACTCTGTCTCTGGTGAATCCTCTCACCTTCCCCCCATCCCCACCTCTGGCCTACACCCCAGCTCTTGTATGCATAAAATTTTTAAAAAGTTAGAAAAAAATTAGAAACTGAATTTCAACCAGAAATTGTTAAATTAGCATTAGTATTTAAAAGGACATTAAAACTTCCAAAGATGGAAGTATAGCAGCTGGAAATATCTTCTATAGCATTTTTTTTTTCATATTTCCATTGTCTAAATATATACAACAAAAGTGTTTGTCCCCCATGCTTCAGGAGGTGGTTATTGTTTGCATTTTAGCCTCAGTATTCATAAACTGTAGCAGAGTCATCTGAAACCAGGTCTGGGATTGTGACTTGTAAATATCAGTGATGAAAAATAAAATATCTGGGTTTAAAACTGTGATGGTCTTCTTCTGACTGGTTTTTAATTGAAAAGAATCAGTGCCCACATATTTTACAGCTTATTACAAATTTAGGTTTAGACTCATTGCTTGTTTTATTTTCACTCTGTTAGTGCCATTTTTACTTCAAATGTGTATAAAAGATTAGTATTTCTCATTTGGGTTATAACTTTTATTTTTTAAACATTGATGTTATTCTACTTTTAAATTCTGGTGCTGAAAAATAATGTGTAAATGCAGGCACACACACTTAGAATGAACTGAGGTAAATATAATAGGGTACGATAGCATAAAATTACCCATCACACCGGCATGTTACAGTACTGTAGATCTTTAATACTTGTGCATGTGTATTACATTTTTTAATGGCTGCCTTTCTGCTTTTTTGGATTGATGCTTTTAGAGGTTTTTAGTGCCCGTTATGAAACTTTTTGCCTTTGGAGAAATTGACAGCACTGAGTGTGTTTTAATGCATTGTTTTGAGCATGACTTTGGTGGAAATTATAAGCGGAAAAGCATTATAAAGAGAGATGGAATTACCTGGCAAGTATAAAGTAGAGGAGAAAGGAGTTGCTCATTTGGGTTATAAAAAGAGCTTAAAAAGAAAATGAGTTGCCACAAAGCATATCACCAGGCTATAAAACATATCAATGTACTTCAAAGAAGATTCAAACGCAATTTTAGATTTTTTGTTACCCTTCCACATCTATTTTTTTCTTGAGATTCCTGGTAGGGAGGCCACTTAATTGTGAAAGAATTAAAACAGATCTCATACAGAAGGGAAGGGCACTCTTAGAGGGCAAAAAGAGAGGTGCACTATACATAATGGAAGGAACCTTGGCTAGAGGACATGGAGTCTCTTCCTAACTTTGCTGGTAGCTTGTAATGTAATGGTTTAATCTTTCTGGGCTATAAAGTAGTATGGCTCTTGAATATGTAATTCTTTGCTTGTAAGGTTGATTATTGTGTATGTCTAGTTACAGAAAAGGTAAGACATACTCTTCAAATGTAAGAAAAGTTAAGAAGCTTAAAGCAGTGGAGTGAACCTGTAGAGAAACTTAGTATGTTTTGGTTGGATGTGGGAAGAAGAAAAGAAGACCAGTTCTACCTTAATAGAAGAGGCAGCAGTCTGTGCAAATAACTCTGAAGGGAGGAATGTTGAAGGAAAGAAAAGGGGAGATGTTTACTTGATATAAAGTCAAATATTTCTCTTTCACATATCCCTGTTCTTGTTGCATGTGACTGCATGAGCATTAAAATCTGCTGTTTTCCATATCTATAACTTGTGTAAATGTTTGTTTTGGTGACTTGCTAGTATCTGCATACTAGCAACCAACATTTTAATTTTTCCTTAAATTTGCAATGTTAAAACAAATAAAAATTGTGTATCAAATGCATTTTAGGTAGCAGGTATTTTGTATTTTCTGAAGTATTTCATTCTTATTCTGGCAGTCTCGATACAGTCTGATAGGAAGGATGTAAAACTTAATATTCTTTGTAGCAAAGACTGGTCCACTCCCTCCAAAAGCTATTAACAGTTTTATTTGGTTTTCAGGTTTCCTAGCTATAAGGAATACTGATCCAAGGGGACTTGGGTTGCTGCAGGAGACTGCTGATAGAGCAGCTTCTCATGTAGACATGTCAAGCTCACGCTTTACCCTAGGCTCTTTCCATTTCCCGTGCATGGGTCTTCCAAATTGTCATCTGTGACTTTCTATGTTGTGACCATCCAGAGAAAGCGGAGACTGGTTATATATAGTAAGGTTGGATGCTTGTTCAAGGAAGTCAGGAAGCAGATAAAACTGAGATTAGAACACAAGACTCTTGATTGTTAGCCTGGTGGCCACTTATTTAGGGGTGGAATGGAGCGGGGGAAGACGGTTGATTTAAAAAAACAGTGTGAGAATCTGTTACAGGCCCCCCAAAGGGCTGGTTTGATAATAAATCAGTGTCATCATCTAACCTCTATCTTCTTGGTCTCCTATTCCTCCTCTACAATTTATTGCTACTGATACACTGTTGTTTTTTTCCTTCTTAAACATACAGGTCTTGGAAGAATTTTTGCCACTTCAGCTGCAGTTTCTTTAGTTCCTTGGAGCTAAGGACTTAAGCAAAATCAGAGGGCCAAAAGCTCCTTTTGTCTCAGAACACAAGCAATATTTTCTAGACTTTATCTTATTCCTAGTCCAGTTACAATTTTGTAGACTATAGACTTAGAACCCAAAAGGCTTTGGTCATGAGGTAGAAAATCCCAGCCATTTATCTGGCTCTTACTATTTTGTTTTCATCTCTTTCCTGCCCCAGGTTCTGTTTCTTTGTCCCAGACATCCAGCACTGGGCTTATTTTTGATTGCTATGTTCTTCTGAGAATTCTCTGCTGACTCTGGTAACTGCGTAGGTGGGGCAATGTTTGTAGGAAGCATGTTTCTGAAACTGGCTCAGCTAACATGAGGGCTATCCTGGACAGGCATCACTCTTAATTCTTTGTTGGAGGCGATACATCCCTCTTCTCATGCTAAATTAACTTTCACAACTCTCGAGAACCACATTTTGGCTGGATGTGATACAAAAGAGTGTGGTACACTCCTTTTCAAAAGAGTGATAGTGTCCTCTATTATTTCACCAGACTCTCTTCAGAAGTTTTGGAAATAGCTTTTTGAAGCCAGAGGATGAATCAGGACAAGTTGAGGGATAGAAGATTCTCATGTCAATGTGAGGATTTGTCATCTTGTTGAGATGTTTTCCCTTATCTCCTTTCTCCGACCCCTCTCCACTGTTGTACTTACATGCCTATGCTCAGTGACCAGATTGTCAGGAAGAGATCCATTCCAGCTTGCCTATACCTCAAGTCCCATGTAGCAACCAGGATTCTTAAACTGTTCTTTTGAAGCAAATCAGACCTAGATAGTTTTAGGACCTGCAGGCAGTTTAGATTTCCAGCCTTTTTCAGAATTCTCCTTAGCTGGCACAGGAACACAAAGTCACTTTTTCATTTGGGGCAGACAACAGGTCTGCTAATAACTTGATCTGAGTTCTTTTCTATGAAAAAGACAGGAAAGCCACCTTACAGCTTTTGTGACACTGAAAATCATGGCTAGATATAGCATCTAAAATTATTACTTTCATGAGCTTGTGAGTTTGATGCCTGAGAGATAATATATTTTTTATTCTTCAGAGGCTGGACCTCCTTTTCATGCTATAATATGACACGATGCCATTGATTTATATAGAGAAAGGGAAACTTTAATTCACTCTGCAGTAAATCATTTGAGTTCTATTGATCTCGATAAATTTACAGTTGTGTTTGTTTTTTCCCCTGTAGAGCTTTTCTAATTACTCTTGTTAGACACATTTGAAGAACTGCGGGGTCAATGCCTTTTTTGCGGGGTCAATGACTGAGACTTCATCTTTTTAATTTGCAGGTTCCATTACAGCTTATAGAAAGTGTTGAATGCCGAGATATATTTCAACTTCATTTAACTTGCAAAGACTGCAAAGTTATCAGGTATGTGGTGTGTTTATGATGCTGTTTAGTATGGAAACTATTTTTAAAGAATGGATCCATGGGTTAGTAACAAAAATAGCTTTCGAAGGTCAGCCTTGTTGGGAATATTTTCTGAGTAGTCTGCCTGGAATAGTTTATCTTTAGGATATTTTGCTATGTTGAAAGGTATTTTTTAAATTTGGGGATAATTTCAAATTTACAAAAGCAGTGCAGATAGTACAAAGAACATCAGGATTGTTAGCATTTTACCCCATTTGCTTTCTTGTTTGCAGGGAAGGGGTGTTTGGTTTTTTCAACTTAGTAATGGCTTTTTCTGCTGAAATACTTTAGTGTGCTTCCTAAGAATTGGGACTTTTTTTTTAATAAAACCATAATATCATGATCAGCTTTACTATTGGATTGTCAGAAAAGTCATTAATGCATTTTTGCTTAGAAAACAGAAAAAAATACATCATGACTTTTCCAACAACCCAGTATTTTATGCTCATAAAATTTGTGTCCAATCTACTACATATGGCCTAATTTTGTAGTTGACCTAGTGCCTTTATGGCATTTCCCCCATCCTCACTTTTGTTAAGACCAGGATCCATTCAAGGTCATATATTACCATCATTCTGTAGTCTTTAATTTGGAACATTCTTCACCACTTTTCTTTGTCTTACAACAGTCACATTTTGAAGAATACTATCTTTCATTTTAATAGAATGTTTCTTATTTTGTGTCTGTTGAATGTTTCTCATGATTAAATTGAGATCATATATTCTCAGCTAGAATATTGTATGTGTGAGGTGTCCTTTTCAAGGTGTTGTATTACATCTGGAGGTAAACTGTGTCTATTTGTCCCTTAATTGGTGATGTTAATTTTGATCTCTCTTAAGGTATCACCTGCTTTTGTTATAATTTTTATGTTTTCTCCCTGTAACTAATGAACAGCATCTATGGGGGCATTTTAACATACTGCAAATAAATGTCCCTGTTTCTCATTGAATTTCTCCAGATTTAGCATCCATTAATGGTTTTATCTGATCTAATATTTTCTATAATGGTGGCAAAATGAATATTCCTACAAGCTTTAAATTCCCCAAGTTTTTACTTTATCTCTTTGTCCTATTCTGGAGTGCCATTAATCTTTGTGTGTTGGCATATTGATGAGCCACATTGATAGGGATGGGAGAGGGGTTAAGTGATCTCCTTGGTTTTATTGTAAGTATTTGAGGTGTTTTTTGGGCTGTTGAGATTTGGCTTGCTTCTGATAGATTCTGGCTACAACTCACAGTTTGAAAAGTTTGCTTTTCATTCAGTTTTAAGCATTGCATTTGAAAATGTATTTTTGTATACTATTTTACCTGTTATACATACTGAAAATTGCAGTTGATAGTGAAAATTGTTTTGTTTTCTATGTGATCACAGCTGAAAGCTTCATTGTAATTGTGTTAATTTAGCTCTAAAGATGCTGACTTTTTCTAACTGCTAATGGACAAATTTTAAAATACTCCCTAACTCATCAAAAGTAGTGCTGTAATAAATTTTTAGCTCAGCCTAATATGTCTTGACAAAAAGAATTTCTCTAGACATGTTTCTTCAGTGGGACAATCATAAGGCTTTGGAAGAAGTAGAATGCAATCCCATTCACAGAAGGCAGTGATTATCATTTTACTTTCAATTGTCATTAATTATTATCAGAAGAGAGTTCTCTAGTTTAAAAAAATAAGTTTTTTTTTTTTTTCATATTTAGCTTTCTTTTTGGAATTTGGCACCATTGGATAAATTTGTTGGCCCTGTTCTTACTACTAATGATAACGTGTGAATGGCTCCCTCTAAAGCTTTCTTGACTGCAGTTGTACCTTCACCATGAATAGGAACTTTGAAATGCCTTTAGTTTTGTCAACTGTCTTCTGATTACATTGTGGTTTGACTTTACAAAGGTGTCAGTTCTCAACCTTTGAGCAGTGTCAAGAGTGGCTTAAGAGACTGAACAATGCAATCCGACCACCTGCTAAAATAGAAGATCTTTTCTCATTTGCCTATCACGCTTGGTGCATGGAAGTCTATGCCAGTGAAAAAGAGCAACATGGAGACCTATGCAGACCAGGTAGGCCTTTATAAAATGCGCACACCGTGGTTTTATTGACCTGCCACTTAAAGTACCCTTAACATGAAATGAGACTCCTGAGTATTCAGGTATTCAATCAGTGTATGCTTTATGGAGCTCTAGTATGTGCCCATCATTCTTCTAAACCCTATAGATAGACTGTTTCTTGCCTTCAGGGAAAGGGAGGAACACTAGATTTGGCATCATAATCTAATGGGCCTATGGACAACTGTATAAGGTTTGATGGGTGCTGTAAAGCCTAACAGAAGGAAGCTATGAGTTTTATATATACATTTGGAAATACTTTGTGTTAGTAATGACCTTTAAATGTTGAATAAGGGTTTGTTGATTAGATAATAGGGAACAGAACAGAAATGGTCTGAACAAAGTTATGAGGTTAGACCATAGAACTGTGAAGTACAAAATGATCTTTTGCTTTTTTCAAATTTTTCAGTCATAGATTACCTATTTTCACCCCTTTAATCCTATTGATAATGAATCAGAGGTCCAGAGAGACCAGGTGACTTTCCTAAGGACAAATAGAGAAGCCAAACCTGTACTGGAATCCCTGCTTCCTTATTCCTCATGAAATCTTTGTCCCACTCTTTCTCTTTCTCCCTCAAAAAGAGCTTTGTTGTTTTTTTTTTGTTTGTTTTTTTTTTGTTTTTTTTTTGCAAAGAGGCATCCGATTTTTATTTAAGATTTTTTTTTGGACTGTGCTGCACGTCTGGATGTATTCTAGGAAGATTATTCCTGTGTACATAAAGCTACACAGTTCCACCCCTGCTTCCAGCGGGGAGGAGTGAAAAGGAGGTGAAGCAGATTCAGGTGTATTTTCAAGGCTGCTTTCTTGCCACTACTGTTGCAGCAACAGGCCTCTGCAATACCCTCTTCTCCTGGCTGTCCTTAGTCCCAACTCCAGCCATGTCCCCTGCCCTCACCTGGTGAATGGAAGGAGAAGGCCCTCCAGCATTAATTAGCAGGGCTAAAGAGAATATGCTAGAGAGGCAGTGCCAGGCAGCCCTGAGCTCTGATTGTGGGCGGTAGCCAATGGGAGTTATAGAAAATTAAAGAGACTGTAGAAACATCACTCCTTTTGCAAACAGCGGCAAAGTAGGATTAGTAGGTATCAAGGATGAAGCAGCAGCACTAAACTGTAAGGAGACAAACTGTCTTTAGAAATTCTAGTCACTTCTAAATAAACTACCAGGAGAATGATAATTTTACTTAGATTCCTTACTTTGGTTACCATCCTTTAATCTGAATGCTAAGAAGAATACTGTAGATTCTCCCAAAAGTAATATTTAGTATCTGAAATTCGCCAATATCATTTTTTTTTTTTTTTGGAGCAAATCATTCTCATATTCTTTATTAGAAAATGCTAAATAACACTTTTGCTCTAGATAGTTGGTACTGGAATTCTCCCAAGAACTCTATTTTTTTTTAATAATAAATTTTATTTTTATATTCCCCATACAATTTCAACCCCCCCATTTTGACCCCAATCCCTCTCCTCCCTCCACCCACCCCCCCAAAAGTGTCTCTGTTTCATAGATTTTTGTTGATTTTGATTTTCACTTTCTTATAGTTATTCATTTTCCTGGTCCCTTATTTAAGTTTTCTAGATTCCTGCTATGAGTGAGACCATCCGGTATTTTTCTTTTTCTTTCTGGCTTATTTTGCTGAGCATGATCCCTTCCAGCGCCATCCATGTTGCTGCAAATTGCATGTGTTTATCTTTTTTGAATGCTGAGTAATATTCCATGGTATATATGGACCACATCTTCTTGATCCAGTCATCTATTTTTGGGCATTTGGGCTGTTTCCAAAGCTTAGCTATTGTAAATAGTGCTGCTATAAACATAGGGGTGCAGGTGTTCTTAAAAAAAAAAAAAAAAGAGCTTTGTGATCAAGTTTGTTATTTTGCAGGCAATTGTCTATAAACTTGATGTTACGTATAAATAGAAGTTTGCTGGTCTAACACTGAATTTGTAGTATGTCCAGCTTGGAAGTAAAATACTAAATTACTGAAGAGTGAAATTTTGTGAACTTCCTTCCATTGAGGTTTACGCTGGGGCTTTTTTTCTTTTTCTTTTTAAAGATTTATTTTCATTTATGCATACAAGAACTGGGGTGTAGGCCAGAGGTGGGTGGGGGGTGGTGAGAGGATTCACCAGAGACAGAGTAAGGAGCAGAACAGGCAGATCTACTTTAATACACTGCTGAGGGGAGCAGCAGGCAAGACAAGAGGGGTCTGCTGTGCAATGTGGGTTAGCTCCCTGGCTGGGAATCATACTCAGGCAGCAGTGGCTGGCGATAGCTTGATAACGCTGAGACGTTAACCCCTGGACTACCAGGGAAGCCCTTTCATTTATGTTTTTATTTCCAAATCTATCTTAACAGTACTGTCCTGGGTCAGTTTAAGTATCTGAAGTTAATCTGGCAATGCTTGTAAATGTTCTCTGGCTCATTCATTCATTGACTCTTTTGAGTCAATGCTGGGCAAGTCATTTATTCTCTGTTTCAGATTGCTTTGTTCTTCAAACTAGGACATTCTTTTTTCTTCTTGCTCAAACTGATCTGGATATCCTGAAGATCAGATCTGTTAGTACTAAAGAGTTCAATAAATGTGCGTCCTCTGTGGCATGTTTGCAAAAATATTTTGCTTGTATAGGGTGATGCTATCTTGATTGGTTATAACTTACTCTGAGTAAAGGTTGCATTTTGTTTTATCTCAACATATGTAGTCCATACTTAAGTTAACCTGCTACCACTCACATGCATTTTGAGTCTCTGTATATGTATGATCTTTTCCTTTTATATATTTTCACTGTACTCAATAAAAAATACCATGGTGGCATTTTTAAGGCCTGTCAACCTGGTTCTTCTCTTTATACCCAACAATGTTGTTGGTAGAGTCTACAATATTACTCATTAAATATGAGCAAAGTAGACAACTACACTCTTGTAAGTCATCCTTAGGTTGAGCCAGCACTTGAGTTATTTCGGGGTAATGCATTGTATTATCTGCCCCAGCACATGCGATCACAAGCATAGAACCTGAAGGGTGGAAGTTAGTTTATTCTTTTAGCGGTTAATAAGGCCTTTTATGGATTCTTCTCTGCCAATCCTGTTAAGAGTAGAATGAGTCAGGGAAGAGGGAAATGGGAAAATAACATCATTACCTTGTTATTCATATAAATCTTGACTGTTGAGCTTAGGTAAGCCAGCTATACTGTGACCACAGCTCTAGGTCTTAATCCACTTTGAAAGAAGTCAACATTACTGTTGGAATTCACCTGAGAAATTTACAAAAGCTTTTTTAAGACTCCTGACTCTCCTCTTAGTCTCATTTCAAAGTCTGAAAAAAGAACAGATTAGAAGTTTAAAGCTACTCTCCTATGTGCTCAACTTCCTTCTCATTGTAGCTGACTTCTTGGTGTGTTCTGTACTTGAGTATTAATCATGAGTCCTCAGAGATGATGGGGTTTAATTGCTAGATTAGTAGTAACAGGCTCACCTCTCTGAACTCTATTCTGTGAAACGCTTGTTAAGCTCATCATGTTTAACCATGAACATCATGGTAGTACGCTGTTGTGAGGCTGTGTATTTAGTATAAAGTAAAAGCCTGTCTTCTGAACTTAGACACAGTCTAGGAAGTGTGCATCTAGATGACTGTATTGGAACTTTATTCATAGAAAAGAATATTCCTCCTTCCATATTTGAAAATCCAGGTGGGCTAGTTCTCTGGCACTGGCACTATTCTTCTTCCTTACATCCTGAGTAGGACCTTTAAGCTGTATAATTGTGGCTGTGAATATTCAGAATCAGCCAGGGAACTAGACTATTTTGGGCGGAAAATTTTTTTAGACTTATAATGGATACTCTGATTATGATAGACAGACTCATTACTTTAAAAACGTTTTCATTGCCACTAAAGTAAGAATTGCTATGTGGTGGTATCTCTATGTGGTTTTGATTTGTATTTCCCTGGATATAAGGGATATTGAACATTTTTTCATATGCCTCTTTGGAGAAGTGTCTTTTATGTTCTTCTGCCCATTTCTTGACTGGATTGTTTACTTTGTTTTTGTTGAGTTGTGTGAGTTCTTTGTATGAGATGATATAATTCTTGATCAAAACTAATTCTCTCATTCCTCTTCATAATCTTTAACTGATGGATTTTTTTTTAAACTAAAACTAAATGTTATTTTACTATATACATATATAGTAAAAAATAGATACGTAGTACTTTTTAAAAAGTGATGCTTTTATTCCTTAACAAAGCTTTTACTCCACCTATTTTCAAAATGGCATTCATTTCTCCCTTTCTTCTGTTTTTGTCTCCTAGGGGAGCACGTAACGTCAAGGTTTAAAAATGAAGTGGAGCGAATGGGTTTTGATATGAACAACGCCTGGAGGATTTCCAACATCAATGAGAAGTACAAGTGAGTTATACGAGTCCCTGTGGACTGTATTTCTCAGCCAAAACCTTTATGGAAACCCCAATTCTCATGTGGCAGAACATTTGAACTTAGACTTTTTCTTTCAAATGGAGTATTTATTAAATCTAAATGCATGATTGTCAGAGTACTTTTTGAGCCTTTTGTTCACATTTCTATCACCACTGGGATGGAAACTGATCTTTACTTAACAGGCTCCTAGGACCTCCTTTCTACCCCTCCAGGCCTCTCCCTTCCAGTCACATGCTTGTCTGGATAATAATTGTGTTTACCTGTAGGCTGGCAGTTTCCATTGTTCTCATTGTCACTTGACATCATGTTAGAGGTAGGATTAGTGATTTCATGAACAGTGACAGAACACTTAGGAGCTGGCTTTTATGACTAATTTTAGTTTATCTCCTTCGGTAGGCATGAATATAATTCTGTTATTTAATACATTGACCTAAAACTGTCTTCACAGCTTTGATGATTTGACCATTATATATTAATGTAACCATTATTAAATATTTTTCATTACTGGTTTCCTTAAAAGATACAATAAATACTTTGGTGGAGGAGGGCAGTCAATTACTCTGATTTTGTGATCCAATAAAAAAAAAGTCCAGAGGACTTAATAGATCCTTCTTCTTTTAAGTTTTCCTATAGCAATTGAAAGCATTAACCCTTCTGTTTTCCTCGTCTATTTGTGACTACCACCAGAATGTTTCATTTTTCACTGGAAAAACTGATTACTGTATGCAGCTCTTAATATTGGCTAAGGAGTTAAGAACCCAGGGTGTTTTGTCATACTTTTGCCTGTTGTCAGTGACAAAGCAAAAAAATCAAGATGGAGAATCAACATCCTTTTTATTGTTGGCTCACCTAGTGTGTATGTGTCTCTCTCTCCCCCCCCACCCCCCCACCCCTCCTTCCTCCTCTCCATCTTTCTCACCTTTCTTGTTAGGCTGTGTGGTAGCTATCCACAGGAGCTCATAGTGCCTGCCTGGATCACTGACAAAGAACTAGAAAGTGTAGCAAGCTTCAGGTCCTGGAAGCGCATCCCTGCTGTTGTCTACAGGTAAGCAAGCCTGGCTAGACTCTGTTTGGTCTGCCACCCCTGCTGCTGCTAATCTGGGAAGGGAGGGAAGGATTCTGGGAAAATTTCCAGGCCATTCTCTGCTTCCTTATTACTAAAGCTGCTCTTTAGTCACACACTAGTACTTACTGCATCCAGAAAACTAACTGATGGTTCATGACATTTTGATAAGAAAAATTTAATAGAAAAGTGACTTGTCTTGGTATTTCAAAATCCTTCTGACATTCTCTGGGAAGATAATGTGCTTATTGCATTTAGCTTCAATGTTGGCCTTTAGATTGAGGGATGAGTCCTAGAAAGTGAGAATTGGGCGTATAGAGTTGAATCATTTGTTATTGTCTTGTGGTTGAAACATCGATATTTGGAAGAACTCCTTTTTAAATGGAAACATTTAGAGAACAAGTCTAGGACTTGATTGCATAGAAGATCTTAGAGATCAAGGCAGGAAAAGCCAAGGGAGGCAAGTTCTGAAAGGAAATGGTAATATGGTGAAGAGCACAGATTTGTAGTTAATTTTTTCTGATACTCCTTGCTATGGTACCTTGAAAAAGTTCCCCAACTCACGTCAGCCTGTTTCTAATTAGTAAAATGGGAATGATGTTTTTTGTATGTATGCCATGGAATATAAATGACTCTATAAATACCAAATTTCTCTAAGCAGTATCTGGAGTAGCTTGTATTCCTGAGGGCTGCTTTTATAATTCAGTGAAAAGTTCAGTTCTCATAGAATCATGTTAATTTTTAAAAAGTTATTTCTTCTTTGAAACTGTTTCAGATGTCATCTCTCTGTAATATTCATATTCTCTATTTCATTTTTCCCAGTTTGCAGTTTTTTTGTACTCTCCTTGAATTTGAGCTAAACCAATGACGTAGTTAGAAACTTTCAGTCATTCCATTGGAATGTTGTAGGAAAGGATTTATCTTCTTGTGGAATTCCAGCTGAGGCGTAACCAGCTTGTTCATTTTAATTCACTGATATAGCAAATTCTGGTAATCACCTAAATGAGAAAGATAAATAAGTATTTACTTCTGGCTCAGTGGAAAGATTTAAGTTTTTGATCTCAATTTTCATCACTGTTGTTCTCAGACATCTCTAGAAAAGTAGGTCACCAAATTTATCTATCATTCAAGTGATAATAATGACACAGGAATTAGAGAACAGTGAAAACTGAAAGGATTTATGAATCTTGTCAGTGATTGGCCTATTCAGGTGGGGAAAGCAGCTAGCTGTGCCCTCTAGCCATTAGTGGTATTAGGTGAACAATTCTGACATTTGTGGGGTTTGCTGACTTTGAGCATAAGGGGATAAGACTCATTTTCAAAGTAAGGGGCTTTAGGTGATTTCTCTTAGTTGACAGAGAATCCTAAGAGTGCAGGTTGAAAAACTTCTTAGGATAAATATGGTAAAATTTTTTTCTTCTAAATAGGACTTTTTAAAAAATCCCTTTCTAGAGACTATAGAATGGAAATTTTTTTATTTATAATTTCTCAGAATCTGCTCTCAGATGATAAATGAAAGTTTGTATTGGAGTCCACATAAAATTAGACTTCCAGGAACTGGCCTCTGTTCCAGAACACAGGTTCTAGAACACAGGTTCCAGAACACAGGTCTGAGCTTCATACTGAGTTGTTGATATCATTTGGGAGCTTTGTAAGGGGCATATTGAAGGATGTTTGGAGATACTCTATCCTCTCTGCTTTGCCAGCTCAGGTGGCAGGATACTTCTGAATCCAACATACATTTACTGAATTTAGTTGTCTGTATACCTGCGGTAATGATCCCCGAGATTGCCAGCAGCAGTTACTTGACAGCACCATGCTGAACTAGCACCTGATTAGTGCTTTTTCCTACTGTGATGAGAGTGCTTAATTGGATTTATTATTGGAGACAGAAATTGCTCTAGCACAGCAAGATGGTGCAAAGGGCGCCCATCTGTAGTGTAGTTTACAGCTCCCCCTTTGTGCATTGAGTGATTATTAGAAATTTCTAGTCATTTAGAGAGCTTGCCTAATACAACAGGATAGTTTAAACATTATGTATTTGTATAAAATCAAAGCACTCAGTGTTTTTAGTAGGGGACTTTTGCCATTGGACTGCTTAATTTTTGTATTTTTCCTGGTTCTGTACAATGATAGAAATTCTTGTTAGTGGTTTTTAGTCTTAATGTTTTGTTTTTATGTAGTCTAAAGCATATTAAAAGACAGCAGAAAATTTTACTGCAACAGCTCAGTTGTGATCTAGCTATTATAATGCCATGGCCCTTAAACCCAAGAACCAGACCAAAGAGTGCCATCTACTGTACCTCTTCGGCATTGCTGGTGACTCTACAGAGGGAGGAGAGGATGCTTAAAAAGGCCCTGCCAGTCTTTTCCAGGAAAGTGTGACTCATTGGTTACCCAGCACCTATTAAATGCTAGTAGGCACTTTAAAAATCAATGAGGTTTTGTTTCCAGGTGGATCCACCTAGTAGGTGAGCAAATTGGGTGTCTTGGTAAAACATAGTGCTTTCCATTGTCTTTCTCAGGGAAGATTTAAAGACTATAAGCAGGGCCTCCCCTGGTGGCGCAGCAGCTGAGCGCCGCGCTGCGAAGCTGCCGCAGTCTCTGCAGCTCTGGTTCGATCCCCAGCCGCCAGCGAGGGTCCCACATAGTGTGCAGACCTCTCCTGCCACTCCCGCTGCTCCCCTCAGCAGTGTACTTCAGTCCCCCTGCCTGTTCTGTTTCTGGCTCTGGTGAATCCTCTCGCCCTCCAGCACCTCTGACTGTACCCAGTGCTTGTATAAATAAATAAATCTTAAAAAAAAAAAAGACTTTAAGCAAGCTATTAGTTTCAGATGAATTTGATTAATTGCCAAATTTAGTTTATTGCTTATGGACTTTAGAATTTAGAATAAAAATCTTTCTCATACTGTTCTTCAAAGAACACAATAGAATCCATAGTAATTTCATTTAAATCCATTTGTGGTCCAATGCACTGCAGTTCCAGTTGCTCCTCCACACACCCTCTCCTTCAACACACCACCCAAATGCACTCTCCCACCCCCAGCCAAGATAGTGAGGGAACCCCTTCCTGAAGAAACTAGAATTGTCAAGTCAGAAGTTATTTGGGGAGACCATTCCAGGTAGCAATTCAGGTGTTGCACGCCAGCACTAGCTGGTGGACATTGCACTGCCTTCTCTTCATGCGGAAAGTGTGGGCAGGGAGGGTCTCCCAGGGTTGGGGAAGGGGAAAGAGGTGGTATCCATGCCCCAGATCCCTTGAAGAAAAGGACCAGAGAACCCTGGGCCAAGTCACCATAGCCTAGTTTGCTGTGGCAGGAGGTGCAGAAAGTGTGAAGGCCTCAGGTTTTGCATGTAGTCAGCTGGCAGGCTGGGGTTCCCAGGACCACACTACTCCATCCATGTCCCCTTAGACATTCCACTCTTCTTCACCAGGGCCTGGTAGGCTTTACCCTGGCCACTGGATGGCTGCATCTCCCCCAGTCTAAACCCCCCTCACCCTCCCACTCAACAGGCCTCAGCTGTGGTACTGCCAGGCAGGTGCCTCAGAAAAGGAAAATCAGGGTACCCCTGCTTTCAGCCCCCATCTCACATGCCTTCCCCACTCTCCCAAACCAAGTTATGGCCAACCAAGAGTTGGTTGACACCTGCTTGGTTGACACCTGCCTCAAGCCTTCCTTTCAACTCATAACAACCAGCAGTTCTCTCCAGTGGCACTTGAGGAGGAGCAGAGGCTGCACTTCTGGTAACACTCTGGGGGCTGCTGTTAGGGCTGCTTGTACCCAGGACCTGGCTTTGATTGGGCAAAATGAAAAAAGTCAGAGAAGGAAGTAGAGACACAGAAAAGTCTAGTAATTTGCCCAGGATCATACTGTTGATGCCACAGTTTTTACAAATTGAAGATTTGTTGCAAACCTGTGTCCATCAAGTCTGTTGGCGCCATTTTCCCAATAGCTCACTTTGTGTCTCGTTTAATTAAGTGGTTCTGCTTCTCTGATCAAACCCTGACTGACATAGCCTTTGGGATTTAATCTTTCTGAATCACTTGGACCACTTCATTCCTTTTCCACAACCTCCCACACTAACTCCACCCCTTAATGAGATAAAAGCTGCCTTGTAAAAGGGACAGATTCATAAGAAGTATGGTTGGTAGAGATCCAGATGTGGCCCTGTCATGTGGATGTGTAAACTCTGATCTTTATGTTGCTGGCAATTCGAGGAGCTAGCTAAGATTAGGCAGAGCTGTGGAGTATCTCAGTGGGATTCAGAACCACTGAGCATTATTGCTTTGCTGAAAATGTAAGCTTAGAGGGAATATTTATAGGCTGTTTTTAAAAACTTATAACATATTCTCATTTGATATTTTTTCAAAGTGAAAACAAAAAGTATCTGAGCCATACATATGTGTTATATGTGTGTAGGCATGTATATGTTTAGAAACAATTTTAATGAGATATAGAGTTGAGAGACAATTAAATTATTTGCTTATTAACTTTACTAGCTTTTTATTCTGCTTATTTATTTTTATAATGGACTGGTTACTTCTGTAACTTTTTATTTTTATTTATTTATTTATTTATTTTTAAATAAATTTTATTTTTATATTCCCCATACAATTGCAATCCCCAATCCCTCCCCTCCCCGCCCCCCACCACCCATAGAGTGTCTCTGGTTCATAGTTGTTTGTTGATTTTGATTTTCACTTTCTTATAGTTATTCATTTTCCTGGTCCCTTATTTAAGTTTTCTAGATTCCTGCTATGAGTGAGACCATCCGGTATTTTTCTTTTTCTTTCTGGCTTATTTCGCTGAGCATGATCCCTTCCAGCGCCATCCATGTTGCTGCAAATTGCATGTGTTTATCTTTTTTGAATGCTGAGTAATATTCCATGGTGTATATGTACCACATCTTCTTGATCCAATCATCTATTTTTGGGCATTTGGGCTGTTTCCAAAGCTTAGCTATTGTAAATAGTGCTGCTATAAACATAGGGGTGCAGGTGCTCTCTGGAATTGATGTTTCTGTGTCCTTTGGGTAAATACCTAGGAGTGGAATTGCTGGATCCTATGGAAGCTCTATGTTTAGTAGGTCGAGAAATCTCCACACAGCTCTCCAGTGGTTGGACCAGTTTGCACTCCCACCAACAGTGCAGGAGAGTTCCTTTTTCTCCACATCCTCGCCAACATTTGTTGTTGCTAGTTTTTTTAATATGTGCCATTCTCACTGGTGTAAGATGGTATCTCATGGTAGTTTTGATTTGCATTTCCCTGATTACAAGTGATGTTGAACATTTTTTCATATGCCTGTTGGCCATTTGCTTCTGTAACTTTTTAAAAAATAATTGTAGCAGGGCCTCTCTGGTGACCTAGAGGTTAGGACTCAGCGCTACCACCATTACTGCCCACCATGACTGCCTGAGATCCAACCCCGGCCAGGAAGCTAACCTACATGGCGCAGCAAACCTCTCCTATTTCACCTGATGCTCCTGTTTCACCTGCTGTTCCCCTTAACAGTGTATTTCAGTAGATCCACCTGTTCTGTTCTTCAGTCTGTCTCTAGTGAATTCTCTCAGCATCCCCCTGCCCCCCAAACCTCTGGTCTATACCCCAGTTCTACCCAAAAAATAAATTAAAAAAAAAAACTGTAGAGACATTTCATATATAATTAAACCCTTTCAATGTGTACAGTTCAGTGATTTTTTTTTTCTTTAGTGTAATCAGAGGTGTACAAGCATCACTACAGTCAATTTCAGTCATTTTCACCACCTCCAAAAGAAATACCAGACCCCTTAGTAGTCATTCGGCATTCCCTCTCCAAATCCCTTAGCCCTGGAGTATCAGTGTTCTACTTTCCACCTCTATATAGATTTGACTGTTCTGTACACTGCATATAAATGGACTGGCTTTCTGCACTTAGCATATCATACTCAAGTTTCATCCATATTGTAACATGTATTACAACTTTATTTCTTTTGATTGCTAAATAATGTTTTACAACTTTTTGTTAGAAATGCTTAACTGAAATTCCTAATTGTGAATACCTAGGGTTTTAATAACATATCTTAAAGTAGACTATGAATATGATTTCTGGTCTTATTTCTTGAAAAAGAATCTGTCAGAGTATGGCTTATGCTATTCCTTTCCTAAAGAATATTGTAGCCTAAGGAAAGGTAGCTGGTTCATTGTACTACCTGTGTATAAGAGTGTTTTGTGACTCATGAAATCCTAGAAGATTTTGTAAAGCAGTTTACTGTGGATCAGATAAGCCCTTCAGTCTCAAATGTGGGATCTTGGTTTGAAAAGAATTCCCAAGCCAACCATGAGTGCACAGTGCTACGGTGGGCCCTCAGAAGTCAGTGAGAAAAGAAGTATTTCTCTGTCTCACCATCTGTTACGTCAGGATATTCAGGTGCTATATTAAAGAGGAGAGATTATGCTTCATTATTGAGTAGCAGAACTAGTATACTATTTTTTTTACCTGATTTCCCAAAAATAAATGTAAAGATTCAAGCATTTACTTTATGAATGTTAATTTGTTTTCTCTAAGAGTATTCATTTATAATAGGCCATTATAGCTTAATTTCTTGGTAACTCTACTAAGGTTTCTAAATTGGTATAATTGAGAAAGATCCATATAGGTTTTATTTTTATTGGTATGCAAGATTTCTCTTTTGAGAGGACTTGAGGCTAACCCATCACTTACTTGTAGTCATTAAGGCATTTAAAACACACTGCCTAACTTTTTGTATGAACCCAGGACATCTGAATGTATTGTGTATTATGTCTTGTTCCCTGCACAGGCACCAGAGTAATGGAGCTGTTATTGCCCGCTGTGGACAGCCAGAGGTCAGCTGGTGGGGCTGGCGAAATGCTGATGATGAACACCTGGTACAGTCAGTAGCCAAAGCTTGTGCCTCTGACTCTAGATCAAGTGGCAACAAACTGTCAACTAGAAACAGTTCTCGAGGCTTTCCCAATACAGGAGACCTTTCTGATGTGGAGTTTGGTAAGGTGTTCCCTGAACCCATGGCAACAATTTTAATTTGAGAACATTTTCTTGAAATGACCATTTCCTTATAAGACAATTTGTTTCTTAGAAGGGAGCAAAATTTCAGTGAATGGGATTGTTTGAGGAGTCATCAGTTTTTTGACAAAGAGCCAGAAGACCCTTTGTTTCAAACTTGGTTTAAGAGGACAAAAGTGCTTGTCTTTCTTGCCAAGATAATTAAAAATGTGTGTGTGTGTGTGTGTGTGTGTGTGTGTGTGTGTGTGAGAGAGAGAGAGAGAGAGAGAATGATAGGGGAACTTCAGACCATGGTGGGGGGCGGGGGAGGGAGGGTGGCTTCGGGTAATCAGACTTCATTAAAGGAATGTAGATATAGAAAAGAGGTATAGGAGATTGGGTGATGTGGATCCCCATGTGTGCTCTGGCAGTTGTTTTTAGAGAGAAAATCTTCACCAACTTTTTATAAGTAGTCAAAAACAGAGGCCCATGTATCAAGGGTTTTGGTGAGGTAGATTTCACTTGAAGGTTGTTTTTTCCCCTGTAATGTGTGCCCATGTTTTTATTTTGCACAATTCTGGGAGAGACAGATTCATTTAGATTTTTCCTCCCTGCTGCTGATGTCTCTAGATTCTTCTCTGTCAAATGCTTCAGGAGCAGAGAATTTAGCCATCCAACCACAGAAGCTTTTGATTTTGGATGCACGGTCCTATGCAGCAGCTGTGGCAAACCGAGCCAAAGGAGGAGGCTGTGAATGCCCAGGTGAGGTGTACAGTGCTTTCCCTGCCCCAACACACACTTTATCCTTGTTAGACTAGCCACTCCTGAGACTTAGCTCTCAACTTGAAAATGAATGTCAAGCCATGCTCTTCAACCTATCATGAGAGAGCTGGAGCTTTTCTTTGGATTGTTAATGTTACATTCTTTTCAGAGAAGAAATGGAGGAGGAGGTACAATGAAACAAATTTCCTTCCCTGGTCCAAACTTGAAGTGATAAGGAAAGTAAATTCTCTCCATAATAGGGCCTGTTGATGTTTGAAAACTGCTACTTTAGTGGCTCAGTTTCTTAGTCATATAAAAGCTTTTTGTTGTCTTTGACAGTGGTTATGCTCATCACTGGCCTCAGAAAAACTCCTCACAGGCTTCCATTTAAAAAACTTGGGGTGGAAATTGAAGCCATGAATACAAAACTCTAGTAAAGCAGCTCTGTTCTGATCCATAGCATTACTGTTGTTTGAATGCTGTTTCTTTAAGGAGAGATCCCTTCAGTGCCAGTTGTGTCCTGGTAGAGCAAGCAAAGGCACCAAGCTCTTTCGATGTGGTGTAGGTTGGAAATTAAAAGCAGTTTAACAGGGTGGAATTTGAATGCATGTTCTGCCAAGTTCTTTTTGGAGATTCCAGAGCTGTAAGTTAAGAGTCCCAAGAAGTAAACCTGGGATGAGATGGAAATATATAGATCTTAACAGTTCTAGGGCATCCCTGGTGGCGCAGGCGGTTGAGTGCAGGGCTGTGAAGCTGTCTGCAGCCTCTGCAGCTCAGGTTCGATTCCTGGCCAGGGAGATTCTTACATGGCGCGGCAGACCTCTCCTGTCTGCTCCCCTCAGCAGTGTGTTTTGGTTCATCTGCCTGTTCTTTTTTTTTTTTTTTTTAAAGATTTATTTATTTTTATTTTATTTATTTATACAAGCATTGGATACAGTCAGAAGCGCGGGAGGGTGAGAGAATTCACCAGAGCCAGAGCGGGGAGCAGAGCAGGCAGAAGGTCCGAAGTACACTGTTGAGGGGAGCAGCGGGCGGCAGGAGAGGTCCGCGCGCCATGTGGGACCCTCCTCCGGTGGCCGGGGAGCAGCCGGGGATCGAACCGGCGCTGCAGAGGCTGCAGGCAGCTTCGCAACCCAGCGCTCAACCACTGAGCCACCGGGGAGACCCCATCTGCCTGTTCTGTTCCCCACTCTGTCTCTGGTGAATCCTCTCACCCTCCCACACATCTGGCCTGTACCCCGATTCTTGTATAAGTGAATAAATAAATAAATAAAGATGGAAATCATGCCTTTAAAAAAAAAAATAACAGTTCTATTTTGTGATTATCTCCTCTACAAATCCAACCTTTCTTTTTGGAAAAATAGCTAAAATTCAAGTACTGTTTTCTTCTCATAATAGAAGACTGGGCTAATAGGCATTGAAACACTGCAGTTTGATTAGTCAGCAGCTACAATGGGTTTGTTTTACAGCTAGTTTTCTGCTTTTAAATTTGGCCATGTGGGCTTTAAATTCATTGTACGTGTGTTCTCTTTATCATTATTCTCTCCAGAGTATTACCCAAACTGTGAAGTTGTATTTATGGGGATGGCAAATATTCATTCAATTCGGAGGAGTTTTCAGTCTTTGCGATTGCTGTGCACACAGATGCCGGATCCGGGAAAGTAAGACATTGGTTTTGACTTTAATTTTGCATTGCTCTTACTTTATAAAAAGTGAGTTTGGAGGTAAGGTCTTTCCTTCTATTACTTGGTAAACTTCAGTTTTACTTTCAGTATCCATGTTACTCTTTTCTGTATTAGGATCACAGCAGTGCCAAGGAGGAGCTGAGAGAAAAATCCATCTCTTTGAAAGGTTTAAAAACGTTCAGCACAAAGCACTTCTCAGCCCTCAGAACAGAAGTATTGCCTCCTTGCTTTTCCTGAGACCTTTTCCTTCTCTTTTGCATTGTTTTTGGCCCAAAGTAATTTAATTTTTTGGTTTCTGATATTTTGTAGTGACTTGTCTGCAGTGAATGGAGGTGTTTTACCATGAAGAATCAAAATTTGTCATGTTCTAAAAAGGGTTAAACTTTCTTTAAACTTGCTATCAGTTTCCTCGTATATTTGGTTCTGATTTCTGAAGTGCCCTCTCATTTACTAAGAACATTACCATGAATTTTATTACTTATTAAAATGAATGGCTGGCATTTTCAGTGAGAAAGGTGCAGTGACACATCCCCCCAAAAATACAAGTTGGAATACAAGATAAAGTAGGTAGACTTTTCTATAAAACAAATATGGGCACATAAATATTTTAAAGCCCCTATGTTACTTTAAATAAGCCAAAAATAATGCCAGAGAGGTCGGAATTCTCTTTTCTGGTACTATTTCCTTGGGTTCTGTTAAGCAGATCTCATGATCACACCAAGTTTTGCAGCTTTCCTTATTTGATTTACAAAACCAAAAGACTTCCTGAACCACTTGTTCTAACTCCTGATAGCAAATGATTAAATTTATCAATTACAGTCAGCCCAGAGGATGAAGCATTTGTCCCTGGGGAAAAACCTGACCAAGAAATAAATTTGCTGGTCTGCTTTGGGGAGTTAGCCACTTGCATCTGCTACATATTTCTGGAACTTAGCTGGTAACACGTACTCTTCCCTAGAGGTGGGGTATGGAAAGATCCTGGTTGAGGACTCAAGAGATCTGTCTCTAATTGACTGTGTGACTTGGTCAAGTGACTTAATTACTATGGGTATCAGTTTTCCTATCTGTAAGATGAAAGAGATAGGACTTGATCTCCAATATCTTCCATGTATTAAAATTCTTTCTTAAAAAGATATGTTTTTAACTTGAGTCAAAATGGTATGATTAGCCTTCAACTATTCCAAATGAATGTCAGGATTTTATTCGAGAAGGTTTGTCTGTAATTGGCAGAAAATCATAATGCAGTGCTGAAATAACCTTGTGAATACAAAGAAGCTATTGCAATGCTGGAGATCAGCTATAAGCAAGCCGCCTGACACTAGTTTGTGGCTGTACAGTGTGGTACATTTCTAATCCAGTTTGGGACTAGGAGAAGGGAATGTGGAGTCTCTCAGATTGGTTGACAGATTTTGGAGTGCAGTTTCTCTGTCAGGCACAGACAACATCAACTGGTGTATAAGAATAGTTCAGTTATGTTTAAGAGAGCTTACACTGCTTCTCTTATTCACTTACTCATTTTTCCAGGGGCAGGAGATAATTTAATATTTTCTCTCCTAAGCTTTATCTTTTAGTTTCTTTCAATACTGTGAGGAATGAGAATAAACAATTGATGCCCTAGCAAAAATTGTTTTTCAGTTACCTACTTAGGACATAGAAAATCTAGACATTGAATTTAAACAGCAGAAATCTTGACTGTAGGTGCTGTGTTGCGGGTACTGCTGTACCTGAGACATAGTGTTTGCCCTCTGAGGATCCAGAGCTTGGTTGGTAGACCAAGCCAATCCATGTGAAACCAGTGCTTATGCACAATATTCTGTTTTTGTTTGCTTGGAAAGCCCCTCCTTGGAATAGTCTCAAAATTAATACTCATTCCCAAAGGTTTAATAGGCCATGATAGCTTAGTCTTCCAAAAGCCTTCTCAGAACCCCATGAGAAGTATTTATTTCCTTCTCTTACTCAGTATTTGAAGGACTGGACTGTGGTCTTAATTATAAATCTGATTGTATTTTGGAGATTTGGGGAGGGGAGAGCGGGTTGGGAGTTGGAATTCATAATAGGGCACAAGAAAAAAAAAGTCTACACAGTTAAAGTGTGATTTGCTTGTGATTACTCCCAATGGGGTGGTCTTGGACTATACTTTGTAAAGGCCTTTTGAAAAAAGGTTCTTCTAAATCCCTGCTGAATCCACTTTCTGTTAAACCCAGTAATACTGTGTGGCAATTAGTGTAATGATATGGATGAATCTAAATAATCAGTTTGAGCCCATCCATTGTTAGTATATATTCAGGACTTGAGCAATGTTAGATGTCAAGGAGTGGTAGCAACTAATGTTGTCTGCACCATTCTTGTATGTGGCATCTTGTGTAAACATCTTGTAATGGGCATATTTGAATTTTTAATTTTTCTTAAAATTTTTTTCCCCCCAAGAACTTGGGCAGAATGCTATCATTCAATATGAAATACCCTTTGTTTCACGTCTCAGAAGTAACTGCATTTTCTTCAGAAGGAGATTCTAGAGAAAACTTTGCTTAAATTACTTTTCTTAAAATGGGTGTGCCTACTACCAAAGGCCGAAAAACATTAAATATCAATTTTCTGGGAAATTAGCAATAAGATTTTTGAAACAAAAGGTGATGCTATTAATGTGCTTTTTCTAAGATTCTTCTCTATTACATAGTAAGACTTGGGTTTTATCCTTGTATCTGCTTTATAAAGAAAAGGATTTTTGGTTTGTTTTGGCAGGGGTTTTTTTTTTGGGGGGGGGACGGAAAAGTCTTTGGGAGTTACTTTTTAATTTGACAAGTATTTAGCATGATACATAAATTGTAAAAATGAGCATTTCCTTATGTTTTTTTTTTATTTTAAATAGTTGGCTCTCTGCTCTTGAGAGCACAAAATGGCTCCATCACCTGTCTGTGCTTCTGAAGTCAGCACTCCTGGTCGTGCATGCTGTGGATCGGGATCAGCGGCCAGTGTTAGCACACTGCTCAGACGGCTGGGACCGCACTCCCCAGATCGTGGCATTGGCTAAGCTCTTACTGGACCCTTATTACCGAACCATAGAGGTACATCCAAAAAGTAGGATTTGGTACTTCAGGATGAGTGGAGGAAACCTCAGAGTGGGTTTATGCTCTGTTTTGCTTGTGGTGATTAGATCTAAAGGAAGTAAAATTTGTTTTAAAATCACTGCTCCTTACCTTGCACTAAATTGTCATAGTGCCTACCAGTTTTTATACATCCTAAAATGGGGCAGATTGTGAAAAATAGACATTGAAGATGTAAATATTTTGTAGTCTATCTACTTGGAAGAGTTTTTGTTGCCTCAGTAAAATGTGGCTACATAAGGATCTCAGCATTTTTGTTTCGGTAATAGATTGTCTAGATGGTATCACAGGGTTTTTGGTAGGGAAAGCGGCGTACTCTGAAATAACTTGTTAAAGATTTAAGAAATACCATAAAGGTATCCTAAAATATATGTGAATGTGGGTGGGGAAAGCTTTTTACACCATAAACTTGTAACTATATATCACAAAAGATAAAACTTAGAGAAATTTAGGGGGGAATGGCTTTTGTATGGTAAAGAGGTTGAAAATGTAAATAGACTCAAGAAAGACTTAGATAAATGCTTGATTAGTAACTTTTTGATGCTTAAGGGATAGAGTTGAGGAAATTGGGAAATCATCCTAAGCATGTGGACATGTGGAACTTTTGTCTGTGGCACTGGGTCAGGAGCTCCTGATGGGCTTAGTGGGAGGCTGTTAAAAGGGATCACAGTTGGAGACAGCAGACTCGGGTCTGTTGCATTCTGGATAGATGAGCACAGATGGTCTCTCCTGGGTGCTTCTTCTACAGGGTTTCCAAGTCCTTGTGGAGATGGAGTGGCTGGATTTTGGCCACAAATTTGCTGACCGATGTGGTCATGGGGAGAACTCGGATGATCTCAACGAGCGTTGCCCGGTGTTTCTGCAGTGGCTTGACTGCGTTCATCAGCTTCAGAGGCAGTTTCCTTGCTCTTTTGAATTCAGTGAAGCATTCCTTGTGAGTCTGGGCTTGTGATTCTTTGTTTTGGGGGCCTTGTCACATGAAATGGCAGCCTTTTAAGAATTTAATACCAATGTCATTCTCCCATTTTTAATTTAAAAAATAGTGAATTTGTTTAGTCAGTGAATTCCACATGTGCTAGATTTACAAAAATCCTTGAGTTGTTTTTAGACTCACTTTTTAAAGGGGGCGATAGAAACCCTAACCGTGAGAAGCAAATAGAATGTCCTCTGCTTCCTTTAGTCCATTTAACAAACCCCTTATATCTGTCTCATGCTCTCTGCTTCTCTGCCTTTTGCTCCAACTCCTGTCACCCTCCTCTCCTCAACTGCATGGCTCCAGCAGTTTGCCTCTTGCCTTTTACATTGGCATGTTCCCCTCTTTACTATATCATTACCATTAGTATACAGACATAATGTAGTGCCTCCTACCTCATCAAAACCCATTCTCCATCTTGTATCCTCCTGTAATTCTTGTTTCTCTATTACCTATCACCGCAAAGGTCCTCAAGTCTTCTATATTTACTATCTCAAATTCCTTTCCTTTTGCTTTTAAACTACCCCAATCAGGTATTCATCTTACCAGTTTACCAGAGCTATTCTGGTTATGGTGATTAGTGACCTTCACATTGCTAATCCAGCGATCAACTCTTAGTTGTTGTCTTTCATCCATCATTAATATTTGGCACAGTTCAACCATTTCATTCTTGAGACACACTCTTTAGTTGACTCCCAGCATTCACACACTCTTAGTTCTATTCTCACCTCACCAGGTGGTCCTTTCTGTCTCTTTGCTGATTCCCACTTATCTCCCTAGTTGTGAATATTGGTATGCTCCAACCTCCAGGCTGCTTCTCTATCTGTACTTCCTCTCTGGGGAACTCATCCAGCAATCCAGTGACTTTAATTTCCCTTTAGAATTCCCATATTTTTGTATCTTCAACTCAGACCTCTTCATTTAACTCTAGACTTACATACTTAACTGTGACTACTCTGCATCTCCACTCAGATGTCCTAGTTGATTCTCATGTAATGTGTTTGAAATTTAGATTGTGATTTCCACATCTCCTCACCCCAAAAACTGATCTTTCAGAATTCTTTCATTTCATCAAGTGACAACTCAGTACTTCCATTTATTTAGGACAAAAACTTTATATCACTGAAGCATCCAATGAGGGGAGGGCCCAGGGGAGGTGTAGGAACCAAGAGGGAAGCAAGCAAAATGGACTATGGAGTAGACGCTGGGTGATTTGGTGGTGGGTGCCCTATAGTGGTGATAGCTGATAGAGAGAATCCTAATGTTTCCACAATTAAAAAATTAATAACAAATTAGTCAGATATAAAAGAAAAACAACTTTCATCCTCTATTCTCCTCTTTTATACTCCACATTCAGGCTGTCAACAGGTTCTGCATCTCTTCTTTCAAAATATATCTAAAATTTGATTACTTATTGTTACCTCTACTATTGGCCACACTGGTCCAAGCCATCATTCCTACTCCAATTCCACAGAGTTAGTCCAACAAAGGGATTCTTCAGAACAAGTAGACCTCGTCATTCCTCTGCTCAGAAACCTCCAGTGACTTTCCACTTTATAGAAGTCAAAAGTCCTTAAAATGCCCTGTAGGGATAGCCTAAAGGTCACCTGTCTAGCCTTTAATTTCTACCATTGTCCTGCCTGTGTAATGTCATTAAATCATACTGACTTTTGTTCCTCAGAAGTCACAAGCATGCTCTCACCCAAGACCATTGTGCTTGCTGTTGCTTCTGCCTGGAGCATATTCCCCAGATAACTTCATGACCTGCTTTCTCACTTCAGTCAGGTCTTAGCCAGTGAGACCTGCCTACACTGCCTCCCATGTACCTAGTCCCTCTTACCCTGTCTTACTGTTGTCCACAGCACTGATCACCCCTCTTTCGCAACTAGTACAAATTCCATCAGGTCAGGAGAGCTATCTAATTGTTGTTGTAAAACCCACACCCACAGAAATGTCTGGGACATGTGAGATGTGAAATAACAGTTTGTTGAATGGAAAGAAGTGTGCTCTCAGCTGATATTTGGGTCACACTCTAACCTCCTCCTGTACCTAGATTGTGTGCTCTTTTGCTCTAGTGAGGGTGGCTATTAACTTGGTTGATCAGAGACTGTTTGCCAGAGAGGCGGCTAGTATATAGGTAATTTAGTTCACTTGTCCTTAACCAAGTGTGAACTCAAGTGTTGTCAGGGATGTTGAGGAATGTGACTGAGTTGACCTTCCCCAGAGAATATGTATCCTGTTGCTTCATTTCACTTCTTTGGATTCCCATAGGTGAAACTGGTGCAACATACCTATTCCTGCCTCTTTGGAACATTCCTGTGCAACAACGCCAAGGAAAGAGGGGAAAAGCATACTCAGGAACGGACATGTTCTGTGTGGTCACTACTTCGGGCAGGCAACAAGGCTTTCAAAAACCTACTGTATTCCTCTCAATCAGAAGCCGTATGTATCCTTCAGCCTTTTCTCTCTTACTAAAAGGAATCTGGGGGTGGGAACATATGGGAACCTATTTGAGTAGTGACCATTTTCTCGAAGGCATTCTCTAGGTGAGTTGGTCCTATTTTTTTCTTACCACACTGTCCTGAGAAAGGCCATTTTTTTGTGGTGATGTGCTAACCTGCTTTTGACTACTCTTTTCAAAGTGACTTGATTAACATATCTCTACTTTGCTGCTCTAAACATGAATCTTTTCTGATATCTCCTTCAGAACTTAATTTATTCCTAGTATGTTCTGTCTAATGAGTGGAAGAGACACTTAAACTGTTCCCTGAATGGCTGTAGATAGGTCAGAAGGTGCTGCATTAGACCCCCCAGCACCCATCCACTGTCAACAGTCCACTATATCCACTGCAGCTTCTGTCTCAGAGATCAGAAAACTGTGACATGAGCATGTGTGTCTGATTCTTTGCTCACATGGAAAACTGGCAGGCCTCTTAAAACTTTGTTCCTTAAAGGAACACCTTCTGTTAAGCAGAGGAAAAGAAGCATTTAAAATCTGTTAATAGGGCCTCCCCGGTGGCGCAGCGGTTGAGCTCTGGGTTGTGAAGCTGCCCACAGCCTCTGCAGCACCGGTTCCATCCCCGGCTGCTCCCAGGCCACCGGAGGAGGGTCCCACATGGCGCGCAGACCTCTCCTGCCGCCCGCTGCTCCCCTCAGCAGTGTACTTCGGTCCTTCTGCCTGCTCTGCTCCCAGCTCTGGCTCTGGTGAATTCTCTCACCCTCTGGTGCTTCTGACTGTACCCAGTGCTTGCATAAATAAATAAATAAATAAATCTTTTTAAAAAAAAAATAATAAAAATAAAATCTGTTAATAGTGGTAATTTTCCTTTTGTTAGAATGCATCTTAAATTCTTCAGTCAAAAAGAGGCTAGTCTGGGCATCCCTGATGGTGCAGGGGTTAAAGTCTCAGTGCTGTCAAGCTATTGCCAACCACTGCAGCATGATTTGATCCCCGGCCAGAGAGCTAACCCACATGGCACAGTAGACCTTTCCTGTCTTGCTCCCCTCAGCAGTGTATTTCAGTAGATCTGCCTTTTCTGCTCTCCACTCTGTCTCTGGTGAATCCTCTTACCCCCCACACCTGTGGCCTGTACCCCAGTTCTTATATGCATAAATAAAAATAAATCTTCGAAAGGAGGCTAATCAGAGGTTATATTGCTTTGTTGCACTGTGAATGTGCTGCTTACTACATTTAATTAGTCAAAGGAAAGACTGAAGCTAACTACTTCTCTGTCTCCTTCACTGTGCCTACTGGGGAAGTAATATAGGAAGGAAAGTCCCTCCTTTTCACCTGATTGATTTAAATGATCCTATAAAACAGGCTTGACAGTGCTTCTGGAAGCCACTTTTTCGTATGACAAAATAATCACCATCTAGTGAATGACTCACTTTCCTATGCAGTAAAAACAACAAATTACGCTGATGAAAGTCATTTATTCAATAAAGGTGTCCAAAGAAATAATTCATGAGAAAGGAGTTTTTAAAAATCGTTTAGATTTTCATGCCTGTAGGAGCCTTGCTGGTGAAAATGTTATAAAAAAAAAAATCTTTAGTCCTATTGCTGGCCTTCTTAGGAGAAAAAGACTTGTGTCCACTGATAGTAACACCTTTGGAAATTGTGCTAAATCTTTTGGGTGTACTAGCTTGGTGCTTATTCTCGACCCTCATTTCTAAAAGACTCATTTACATCTGTACCCTGTGTACTCTCCTCAGGTACTGTATCCTGTGTGCCACGTGCGCAACCTGATGCTGTGGAGTGCAGTGTACTTGCCTTGCCCGTCCCCATCCACCCCTGTGGATGACAGCTGTGCACCATACCCAGCCCCTGGCACCAGCCCTGATGACCCGCCCCTTAGCCGGTGAGCCCAAGGTTGATGCCAATGCCTCAAGTCCTGTGTGGATGTATTCCTTTGTTGGGATGCACCCAGGGATGGTCAGAGACCACAATGTCGTCTAGCTCCCCATATCTTTCTTTGAAGTTTTTTCAGGGAAGTTATAAGGGTTTCTAGCTATGAGACCGTAAATAAGAACCTTATTTCCTGAAGAGTGTTGGACCTGTTAATACATGGCCCTGTAGCATGTACTGAGTAGTTTTCTCACTGATGAAGCAAATCCTCTGGGATTTTTGTGACCAACTGCTCTGTGGTCCTTCTTCCCTGCCATGATTTGTCTTCTTGGGCTTGAAAGGCAGATGCTGTCAGATGATAGAAAGGTTGACTTTTCCACAGAATGGTAAATAATAAATTATTATAATTTAAAATATAATATCAGGAAATCGGCGTTATTTTCCTTTGCCACTAGTTGCAAAATAGAACAAGATCATGAAGAATGTCTTTTTAAAATGCCATTTGCTCTTACCATATTTGTATGTATTGGGCTTGGGGCAGAGTTGGTGAAAGAGAGAATTTGCAGATTAGAAAAAGAACTTGCCTGGAGCTTTGTATTTCAAGCAATCTGAGCTTCAGTTCAGAGTTGCCATAGCTTCTTGAGTAGCTGTAATGGATCCAATTATGAAACAACTGCCTATCAAAACCTGTTGTCTCCTGCTTGCTTCTGAACAGCTACAGATTCTCATTTCTCCCCCTAAACTCTTTTCTTTTAGGCTACCAAAGACTAGGTCATTTGACAATCTGACTACAGCCTGTGACAATACCGTGCCTCTGGCCAGCCGGCGCAGCAGTGACCCAAGCCTGAATGAGAAGTGGCAAGAGCACCGGCGCTCACTAGAATTGAGCAGCCTGGCTTGTCCTGGAGAAGAGCCTCTTGATCCCGACAGCCTTGGGAAGCCGACCAAAGTGCTGAGTGGTGCAGAGCTGTCTGTTGCAGCTGGAGTGGCTGAGGGACAGATGGAGAACATTTTGCAAGAGGCCACCAAAGAGGAGAGTGGGGTAGAAGAGCATAGGGGGAGCATCTGTGAAGTGCAAGAGGTCAAAGAGGAGACTCTTTTTGAAAAGGAGAACAAGGGGAAGACCCCTGAGGGCTCAGGCATTATCCTTCATCAAGAACCAGAACTGGTTGATGCGGCTCTGAGGAGCTATCCAGACACTAGCTTGTCTCTGTTTTCACAGGATATTCCTCAGCAGCAGGGTGGACATGGTGTTCTCCCCAATTCTTTCCAGGAGTCCCACAGAGGAAAGGAGGTCCCTGAGGAACAACCTCGAATAGGAGCCATCCCAGAGGACAGGGAGGAAGCAGTTCTTCCAATTGTAGTTGATGCAAAAGTTGGCTATGGTACCTCACAGTTAAATTCTCTGCTACCCTCCCAACTCCCATTTGAGGCCAGAGGACCAAACATGGACAGCTCCATAGACATGTTATTGGAAGATAAGGAAAATGGGTCCCAGGGCCATAACAGACCTTGCCTGGTAAACAGAGGCAGCTTAGGTGGCAAGGACATACTTCCTCAAGCCATGGAGCCTAGGCCTTCAGAGAGAAGCCTGGTTGAGAGGCCCCAGGTAGGATCTGTGGTGCATAGGACTTCCCCTGGCAGCACCCATGGCCCAATGCATTCTCCTTGTGCCTTGCCTTCAGCCGAATGTAAAGAGGGGCCTGTGTGCAATGGTGCCCCAGAGATGGAAAATAAGGCCTCCGAGCAGTCCCCAGGGCTTAGCACCCTGCAAAAGTACCCCACTCCCAATGGGCACTGCACCAATGGGGAGGCTGGTAAGAGCAAGGACTCACTGAGCCGCCAGCTGTCTGCCATGAGCTGCAGTTCTGCTCACTTATACTCGAGGAACTTGCACCACAAATGGCTGCACAGCCACTCTGGGAGGCCATCTGCCACAGGCAGCCCTGACCAGCCCTCCCGCAGCCACCTGGATGATGATGGCATGCCTGTGTACACGGACACTATCCAACAGCGCCTGCGTCAGATTGAGTCAGGCCACCAGCAGGAAGTAGAGACCTTGAAGAAACAAGTCCAGGAGCTGAGGAGTCGCCTGGAGAGCCAGTATCTGACCAGCTCCTTACACTTCAATGGGGACTTTGGTGATGAAGTGGTGAGTTCACCATGGTACCTCCCTACCTGCATACTACATACTCAGCTGCACACCGAGGCTTGGTGCCTTTGAACCCAGAGCATGGTAATGGGTACAGATTGGAGAGGCCCGTTGTAACCCTGTTGAGAGGCTGGATAGAAGTCAGTCTCACCCATGTGAATGGCAATCTGCCCCTTTTCTTTTCTGCCTTGCTTACTTTCTACCTGTGTCCTACATGTGTTTAGGCAGCTAGAATATGGAAGAGAGTTGGCACTTGGCTATGTGGTTGGTCACATCTCTTCAGAAAGCATCATATGTCTTAAGAAGGGTTTGAACTCCTGGGCAGAATTAACATTTGTAGGGCACTGTCAAATATTCCTGTCAAATTGTAGTGCCTGTCTAACCCCAGTAGCTAGTAAACTATTAGCCTCTCCAAACATGGGCTGTAGCTGTGAACATTTAGGGTTTTTTTAAATAGATATTTGTAATGCGGAAAGGGATAAGGGTTGGTCTTAAGTACTGTCAAGTTAGCACCGTGGGACCTGCTAACTGGAAGTAGAGGTACCTGAGGGGAGCTCTCCAGGAGGTGATAGCCTCACTGGATGTGTCTGACTGGTGTTCAAGTAGAAGTGTGAGCCTGACTCTGAAGCAGTCAGTGTACACTAAAGGCGGGCTCATCCAATGACTTTCAATTCAAACTGACTTCTTGTGTTTTCCTTCATAGTAATAATGGTTTCTCATTTTCCCAAAGAGTCCTTCAGAGAGAAGGAGGCTATGCCCCAAAGCACTCAGTTTTAACTAAGTGGCAGGGTTGGATTGACAGGCCCACTGGAGCAGCTGACACTCAGAGTTCCTAATCCCACCCTGGTCACTTCTACCCCACTTACTTCCTGGAACCCAAGGCCCATCTTTCCACTCCAAAGTCACACCATTACAAATTTTGACCTGTGTATCTCCCTGCACCTGCTCGACCCATAAATCATGAAGGCTGATGTACCTGCAGATTCGGCAGCCCTAATATCCAGGCCCACCCAAAGTCCTCAGTGCTCCCTTCTTTACCAAGCCCTTTCTTCTGGGAGGAGACCCAGGTTCATTCTGTTCAGCTGTGTTTGTTTGCCAACAGACTTCAATCCCCGACTCGGAAAGCAATCTGGATCAGAACTGTTTGTCTCACTGCAGCACAGAGATTTTCTCTGAAGCCAGCTGGGAGCAGGTGGATAAACAGGACACGGAGGTACAGGCTCAGCCCCTGTTCTGAGTGCCATCCATGCTACAGTTTTGCAGTTCTTCTCTACCCCTTTCCTTACCCCATGCCCCTGGCTAAGGATTGACCTCGTAACTCACTTAGCCTTGAGCTTCTGTCTCACTGCTGTGAATCCCCATCAAGCCTGGAGTTTCTGAGCCAGGGAGACTCAGCAAGCTGGCCCTCTTTCCTCGTCTGTATGAACTGGAACCATGCCAGCTCTTATAACAACCCAGGGTGCTGCTGCCTGCCACTGTTATCTCAGGGGAGTTTGGAATCCCTTCGAGGGAAACGATTTGGACTGGCGCCTTTCTTGTACTGCTGACCTCAGACTTGCTGGTCTGGTGCCACTGGAGCCAGAGTGGTCCTGGTGACTTACCCCAGCATGGATCTGCTGGCTCCAGCTGGAGGACCCATTTCATGTCACTAACCTGGCCCCATCTGTTTTACAGATGACCCGTTGGCTTCCTGACCACCTGGCTGCCCACTGCTACGCGTGTGACAGCGCCTTCTGGCTCGCCAGCAGGAAGCACCACTGCAGGTGCCATTGTGGGGTGTGGTGGGATGGGCCAAGGCGTGGAGTCTTGAGATTTGGCCTGGAGTCAGCAGACTGAAGAGATAAAGGCACTTGGCTGGCTGTGTTGTTTGAGGCGGACCCCAGGGTCTGTGGGACCCTGACTCATCTTTTGTGCCTCTGAAATTGATGCTTGCAGAACTGCATTTGGTGTTTTCCAATTCAGAGTCATCATGACTAAAATTTGAAGTGTGCCATTGATAACCCCTCTTTGTTTTGCTTCCCGGATTGGTGGAGCAACAGCCACCACCCAAACCACCGTTTCTTATTCCAAGAATAAAATTTCCTCCCATTCAACATGAGTGCTATGAGCAAAAATAGTTTTCCTCCAATGGGCAGGGAACATCATTTTTCTACACCTTATTCTGTTCCTTACCTCAGACTTGTTTCCCTGGCACCAGTGATGAGCAGATGTAACTGGGGGAGTAATAGGGACAGCTGAGGGCATAGTCTTCAATCCTTAAAGCCCCTCACTTTTCTGCTATCTCTGTTGGGGTTGTGAGTTGCTAGGGATGCTTTTCCCCAGCTGAAGTGATGACTGGAGGATGATCAGTGTTCTTGAGGTAGAACATTTATCTTAATTGTGACATAACTTGCCCACAGAGTGACCCTGGATTGAAAATGGGGCCACCTCTTTGTCTAAGAATGATGTTTCTAAGACTGTATATCTCCCCACACTCCACCCCAAGCCCAAATGTCTTTGGTTGGCTTCTCCTCTGAGCTTTTTCTCCCCTCCTTGCAGGGACACTGACCGTGTTGATCAAACGTGGTGAGCATTTGCAACAACCTGTCTGTGATGTCTGCACATCTACAATAACTTCTCCACACTAACGCTGCTACCTCCCCCTCTCTGCACTCATTGGAATGAAGTCTGGGGTTGGGAGTTACAGGCAGGCAGTTGGGCTTGGGGTGGTGGGGGTGGGGACCAAAGCAGCTGCCTGAGACCATTGGGGCTGAATCAAACTCTAGTCTTATAGTCCCCTCCTGGCAGTGCAGGTTGGCTGAGCTATCTTGATTATGACAAGTGACTGTGATTCTGCAGGACCTGGTTTAGTGGAGTTGGGTTTCTAGAGCTGTTCTTTAAGAAATCAGGCCCAAAAAAGGGTGATCTTTCCAGAGAACTCTTTTAGCATGGAAAATTCTGAAGGAAGATTTCACTTTGGGTCTTTTTAGAATCCCTTGAAGAAAGTCAGAAAAGCTTAACTAATCAAATTCATGTTAGGACTCCACATCTGATGTGAAATGTAGATATTCTGAAACAGATTTTGGTCATTTTTCAGTGTAATCACAGGTTCTTGCTGAGTTTTTGTTATTTTGTTTTTTGCGAAGTACTACATTCTAGAAATGAAGGTTTGTGTGTTTGTGTGTGTGTGCGTGCGTGCATGTGTGCGTGCGTGCGTGTGTTAGCTCTCTGTCCTTCCATTGCCTCATGTCTAGCCTTTTCCTTTTGTGGTATTCTTTTGTCCTCAAAGGGCAATTCAGTATTCTCTCCTCATGCTGGTCCTTAATCTAGCAGTGGGTTTACATTCTGAGGAGGATATATGAAAAGTGAGTGTTGCTGGTTAAGAAGGATTTTTCCTTTATCTGCTTTCCCCAAGTAGTTGGTGGGCTGTGTCAGGCTCCCTGGAGTCTCCCGTTCTTGGGCTCATTGGGATTTATTTGTATTTTGGAAGCCAGCAAAAATAGGATTGTAAGGTGGACAGAAATGCATTCTCTGCATTCCTTTTCCAGTTACTGTAAAGGGCACCTGTTTGGGTATGTGAACCTGTGCTACACAGGCACACATCAGAGCTGGGCTTTCAAATGGAGAAGAGAGGCCTGGGTCCTGGGTAAATTCAGGCCTTCAGGTAGACTTGATAGTCCCTAGAGATTCATGGGGGTAGGGGGACAAACCATAAATGACTGACACCTGTCTAATAAGGGGGTATGTGTGCACGTGTGTTCATCTGTGCTCTTCTTGTCTTTTCACCTTGAGCATGTGTCACTGGTTGCTTGTCTCCTGGCTTTGCATGCTGGCAGCAGAGCAGTCCTGGATGGAAGCAGTGTATTGATGTTGCTGCCTCCGAGCCTGTAAGCTGGCCTGTTAGGCAAGGCTCCTCCCTCCCCTGCTGGACCAAGTAGTTGTTTCTCTCATCTGAGGGGCTTGGTGGCAGTTCGCTGGACTTTGGCCTCTCTGTATTCATGAGCTACACAGAAGCCTTTGCCCAGGTGTATATGGCCCCTGGGTTTTCCTGAGTCAGGACTTGCCCATTGAGCTAGCAGCTGCTTCTGCCCTCGGTCCATTTGTTCTCATGGGTCTCTCTTGAGCAGCATCCTCCTGACACCTGATAACCTTGAGCCATGATAATAGTGAGGCAGCCAAGTGTCCGTGGTCCTGTAGTAGAAAGTGGTATGCAACTGTGTTTGGTAGGGAATCCCTTTCCTGTCCTGCTTGTTCCTGGGCTAGATAAATAAAAGTATTTAATCTTAGAGGAGTCTCCAGCACATCTGAATTTCACACAACAAAGTTCTGGTTTCCCCACTCCATGCCTTCCACCAAAACTGACATTATTTTATTCTTTTTCTCATCTTAAGGAATTGTGGGAATGTATTCTGCTCCAGTTGTTGTAACCAGAAGGTTCCAGTTCCCAGCCAGCAGCTCTTTGAACCCAGTCGAGTCTGCAAGTCTTGCTATAGCAGTCTACATCCCACGAGCTCCAGCATTGACCTTGAACTGGACAAGCCCATTGCTGCCACTTCAAACTGAAGCTCAGTGACCTGGGGCGGGCAGAGGCAAAGCTGCTGTTCCTCTGACAGGCCCACACAGCCTGGGCAGACCAAGAGGCCCGTGCACTTTGGAATGGGGGCATGGAACCACCTGTGCGGAGTGACAGAAATTTGGGATGTACCACTGGATTATAGATTGATTTTTCTTTCCTGTTTTTTTCCTCTCTCCCTTTTTTCCATACTCCCTCTGCCTTCAAAAAAGAGAAATGTCCCCTAGTTGTTTTTTTTTTTTTTTTTCCCTCTCTTTTGATGGAACACCAGAGGTTGCCAGACCCCCGTAACTGCTGAGTCACCTGCTGTCAGACAATGCTGAGGGTTGGCTTAGTTCCTCAGGATGGGAGGAGGCTGGTCAGAGTCAGGAGTGGAGACCTGAAATAGTGAGCTGGGGGCAGTGGGGAAGCTAGTGCTAATATTCGTGACCCTTCCTCATGTCGCCACCACATGGGAACTGCTTGGAAAACCTTTGCGGCTAGGGAGACTTGAAGCATCTTCCCTAAGAGTACTGCCCTCTGGTGCCTCTCCCTCGAGAGGGTCTGGACCAGTCCCTTTTCACAGATAGGTAACGGGGAATGGCATCTGGAGGGAAGGGCACATATTAAAGATCCCACTTTGGGAAAGGAAGGTGTAATCTCTGAGACAAGCAAGAGGAGCTGGGAATGGCAAGCATACCCTCTCCCATGAGATTCTGGGACTCTGTTTTTACTTGACATAGATTATCTAGGGCTCCCTTCACTGTCTAGGGTCTGCCTCCCTTGGCCAGACTGTAGCACTTCCCATCCTCAGGCATAAGTGTTCAGGCTAGTTAGAGGGCAGTGTGTCCTGCTGTGGCTAAGGCCAAGGTCAAGCCCTATCCTGAGCCCAGGCATATCTGGAAGGCATTCCAGGGCCTGGTCTCCCAAACAATCTTTCTTGGCTAGCACAGGGAAATCCAGACTCAGGGTTCCAAAAACTCCCCATCCCCAACCAAACAAATCATGGATCTCCCCCTTAAGGGGGCGGAGTAAAACCAGCCTTTAGAGTACAGGTCTCTGGAACAGGGAGAATGTCCCATACAATCAACCTCCTTCCCTTTTTTGGGGCAGCAGGAAAGGCTCAACAGTCCCACTGCCCTACACCTATGTTGCCTCAGTAGGCATGTCTGGCTGCTGGTCAGGCCACTTGGTGACTCTGCAGGGTTCCTTAGAGAAGTGACATGGCTTTTAGGAGATTCAGGGCACCTTTCCTCAGTAAGCTTTGGTGTGGTCCAAAAAGAGCCTTAAATCAAGAATATTTGTGGTGGAGGTGGATATGGGGAAGAGTGGAAAGAAGTTTGGATTTGTGCTTTGTAATCTTGGCATCCATGTTTTGTGCCTGCCCTCCCTCTTAGAGGGAAAGGGCCATGCTTGGCTCTGCTAAAAGCTGCTAACTGGTAACAGAGCAGATGGTAGTGAAAGCTGGGGTGAGGCCAGGGCTCTCTCTGACCCTTGGAAGCAACTCCCTGGCCAAGGACAAGTTATGTCTCAGGAAGGTGGCTCCTGTGTGTGCCTGGGTGTGGTTAAGACGTGGCCTAGAAGCCTTCCCTGGAGTGGTCTAGGCAGAACCAGAGCATCTGAGTGCGTCTTCCCAGTGGCAGCAGGTTGCTCAGAGTTTGAATTTAATAAAACAGGGTGTAGTTCTCCACACTCCGTGTGGTCTGACCATGCAGGTCAGGAGAAGTCAGTCTAATCGAATATTGTGCAGTTCCTAGTGACAGGTGCCAAGAGGTTATGATACGGGTTTCTTGGGTCTGATGTACAGTGTGAATAAATGCTTGCAGCTTTTAGCCCTTTTTTGATCAATGAAGCACTTTTTTATTAATATTTTCTTTGTATGTAAAGGAGGAACCATAACTCTCCATAGATGTACATATAACCCTTTTCTCCTAAAGAGGAGTCAGTCAGTGCTCCTATATTTTTCATTTTTTGTCAAAGCAAGAAGTAAATACTTTAGAATTGTTAAATATATAAATAAAGTGAATAAAGTTTAGTGTTCCGCATGGTAGCTTTTGCTAACATGTTCTAATTTTTTTCCCTCTGGTTTATCTGCTCTTCATCCCTTTTCCCTCTACTACAGAAGCAGTTTGAGGTGCTGCTGGGAAACCGACCTTTGGCAAAGGAAAACTACGATTTCAAACTCTGGACCTTGGCAAGGAGCTGCTCCACATGCCTGAACACCGAAACACATTCTTTAGGATGGTTTTGCCTCTAACATCTTCCAAGCTAAAAAAGGCAAAGTAGTCAGGCATCTAATAATCAGCAGTTCTTATCTGGAGAATTGAGCATCAGTAGTAATTAAAACTACCTCTGGCTTCCAGGCTCCTTTTTGCCCTGCTCTGATTATAGGGCAGTGCTCTGGCTGCTCAGTTCTACCCCACCCAAGGAACGTCATCTGCAGTGGAAAGTGGAAGGAGATGTTGGGGTTGGGAGGGCTGCCCGTCATTCTTGGACGAGAAAATATGGGTGGGCAGAGAGAGACCTTGAAAGCAGAAACACTGGATTATGTCCCTAACTAGAGGTCTCCTCCCCTACCTCCATACACTCCTTAGATCTGTAACCAACCAAGCCTATATAATACAGTCACTTCTTGACTAGTTCTTTGCAGGGTGTAGATTTTCTTTTCTCCATGTCATTATTGGGTATCCATCCCAACTCGAGTGACTTGCTCTTTGAGGGCTCTGTGACTTGCTCAAGAGCCTCTTTGAGGGCCTTGACCCTTTGGGGTAGGCTCTCCAGGATCGTTTTCTGGATGTACTCTCTATCTAAAGTACACAAGCATGTAAAAAAAAAAAAGCTCAGCTGATACCAGTTTGAAAGCCATGTATGCTGTCCAGCAGGTGATTGAGAATCAGCCTGTCCTCTGGGAGAAGGTGCTATCTGAGCTGCCTTATATCCGTCAGGGAGCCAGTCTGTTCAGACCAACTTGTAAAAACCTGAGTATGTGTAAGAGCCAATGTGTCTGTACATAGCTTCTGTTGTTCCTAAGAGCTAATGATCTAGCCCTCAGTTAAAACAGTAGCAGAACTTAGCAAGGTTGTTGGGACCCATAGATGGGAAGCTGGTGGCAATTGGAAGATGAAGAATCAAGTGAGACCTGCACAGTGTGGCTCAAAGGCAAGGAATGGAGAAAAGCAGTTCTGTATGGGCAGGGCTAGCTTGCTTTAGGTGATCATGTGGGGGAATTCTGGCTGATATTATGAGACCTTGAGGTCTCATTGAGGTCTCACTAACAGTGACCTTGAGCTGCCAGGATGTCCTTATCTCTGAACTTAACCTATTCTGGTGTTCTCACAATATTGCTCTATTTTCTGTACTTTGCTCTCCTTTACCCTGGCCTCCAAATTTGGTAGGATTGCCTTAATCTCACTTGTGAGGATGTACAGAAAAAATTTTCTTTATTAATTTGCAAACATGCTCACTGCTGACTTCTGTGTTTGCAAAGACACAGAATCTAGAAATTACTGTGGCAGATTAAGAAGAGAATGAACAAAAAATGGTGCCAGAGGACCTGTTAAACAATTTCCAGCTATTGTCAAATTGGAAATTGAGGGTATACTCTAGAATGAGATTAGACGCTGTTGTCCTTGAGACAGTGTATATATCATTGACTGTTGCCCAGGAAGCTAGGAGATCCCATACTTACTGAAATTGTTAACTCTAGCCCTGACCTCTATTGATCTTTTAAGAATGAGCTGATTTGAAGATGCTATTGTAGAATTTCGTTTGGCTGGTGCCTGTTCAAGTGACTAGTCCCCAGGGCTGCAGCTACACCCCCACTGATTACATTAACTGAGACAAAGGCTAACGGCCCAGTTAAAAATGGGCCCTGGGCTGTTGAAAAGCAAAGTCTCCATTTGGAGTTTTGGATAAAATGGCAGGAGTTCCAGCTCTTTAATTTCTAGTGACATTTTCTAAGAACATTTGTTCTAAGTTGAGGTTATTGACAAGATTTCTCAAGGGCAGGTCTCGAATCTACTAAAAGTTGCTAGCAGCAGCAGGAGGCAACCCTTTTAAGACTCTGCTCAAACCTGAGTCCCACTGTCCCCTGCACACAACTGCATTGATGCTTTGTTCCTCTCAGCTGTGTGCAGTTATCTGCTGCACATTCTGTGCACATACCAGCTGCCTCCCCGTTTAAGCAAGTTTCTTCTAGATGAAGCAATTGTTTGGAAGTGTGAGAGGGGTGAGGCCATCCTCTAAAATGGGAATTACCAAGGGTTTTAATGCTGCTATTTACCACTTTTTTTTAATCGCATCCAAGTTGTTAGTTTTCTTACATTGCACATAGCAAGTTGCATTTTGTATTTTCAGTAAGATTTGTTTTACATTGACATTTAAAATTGACCTTTAGCTGTTTCCTGATTGGATTAGAATGTTTTTTTTCCTTAATGCTAACAACACATGAGGCTCAGATGCTTTTTTTTTTTTTTTTATAGAGGCATGTTTTTATTTATTTATTATATTTGTTTGTTTGTTTTGTTTATACATGCACTGGGTACAGTCAGAAGCGCGGGAGGGTGAGAGAATTCACCAGAGCCAGAGCGGGGAGCAGAGCAGGCAGAAGGACTGAAGTACACTGCTGAGGGGAGCAGCGGGCGGCAGGAGAGGTCTGCGCACCATGTGGGACCCTCCTCCGGTGGCCGGGGAGCAGCCGGGGATCGAACCGTCGCCGCAGAGGCCGCGGGCAGCTTCGCAACCCAGCGCTCAACCGCTGCGCCACCGGGGAGGCCCGGCTCAGATGCTTTTTAAGAATTAAACTGTGTTGCTGCTGAGAGTAGTGCTTGCTGATGGTAACAGCATTGATTATGCTGTAGCCTCAGTGACCATTTAAACTAAATAAATGTGTCCTTTTCACCTACAAATAGCTGTTCAGCCCCTGGAATTCGGTTACCACTGATTTTCTAGCCAGTACTGTGACTACTGTATGAGGTATGAGGGATAAGTCAACTGCTTCTTAATTGGTCCAGGAGACAAGAAAGGAGCCTGGCCAGGAGAGGTATGTAAAGGGTCAGCAATTTGCCCTTCAGAGACAAGGGACATGAAATCTTGACATTTAAAGGTGGAAGATCTAGTTTCATGGTTTTCATACTGTACTGAGGGGCAGTGTGGGGAGAGAGCCCCTAAGCCCATTTAGTATTAAATGCCAAATAAGACCTGATTTGATAAAAGGTTTTGGGTGCTTAAAATAAAGGTCTGGAAAACACTGATCAAATCCATCTAGACTTTCATTGAGGAAACTAAGGCTCAAGGGGCAATAAAGACTCATCCAGGGTTACCAATGAGTTAACAGCAAAATTTGAATGTAAGAATCATTCTCTCCTGACCTCTCCCACCTCTCAGTGTTCTTGGGCTTCCAAGAAAGTTTAAGATAGCGATTTTATTTTATTTTTTTTTTTTTAAAGATGTATTTATTTATTTATTTATTTATTTATTTATTTATTTATTTATTTATTTATTTATACAAGCACTGGGTACAGTCAGAAGCGCGGGAGGGTGAGAGAATTCACCAGAGTCAGAGCAGAGCAGGCAGAAAGACCAAAGTACACTGCTGAGGGGAGCAGCGGGCGGCAGGAGAGGTCTGCGCGCCATGTGGGACCCTCCTCCCGTGGCCGGGGAGCAGCTGGTGATCGAACCGGTGCTGCAGAGGCTGCAGGCAGCTTTGCAACCCAGCGCTCAACCGCTGCGCTACCGGGGAGGCCCTAGATAGCGATTTTAACTGGTTCTCTCTGAGTTAGTCAAGCTAGCAATCTCAGAGGATTCAGTAATTGCTACAAAAAAAGTTTAGATTATGACCTCTCTTTTCCCTCCTAATCAAAATCATAAGGTTTTAATAACATCATCCAATGTTTATCTTTAACCTTTCAAATACATAAAACAATTGACCCTCTACATTTGGAGTAAGGGGCCCAGTTAGGGACATTAATGCTCCCCTTTACATTGTCCAAATCTGCATGTAACTTGACTTCCCTGAAACTTTACAGCTAGTCCTCTGCTAGCTGCTGGAGATTGGTTTCAGGACCTCTTAAGTTGGATGAACCTATAATGTGGAACCCGCAGATATGGAGTGAAGGAAAGAATCCATGTGTATGCAGACCTGTGCAATTCAAACCCATGTTGTTCAGGGGTCAGTACTTAGCATGAGTTCTTAGCATGAATAAGTTCATAACAACTTGAATCAGTGGAGTGGCAGTGGAGAAGAATTTTTGACTGGTGCAGATGTGTTAGTTGTGAACTGTCTTAGCCAATTTCTAAATTTGTGTGGCATGGAGAGAAGTCTTCATTCTGTATACATAAGTGGTTTCAAAAGGCAATAGTCACAGCTTGTTTGAAATCGTGTTATTACTGATAAAACTGAAGTAGATGCTTAGAAAAATCAATGGGAGAATAGTTAGTACCTTTCAGCAAGAAACACCCAAAGGTTATGAGCACTAAACTTATTCTGTGGTGAGAGCCATTAGCTTTGAATTGCTGCTGGACATGGTCATCACAGCACCCTTCCCAGCCACATCCTGAGAAGACCACATAAGCACAGCAAGGAGGCGTTAACTGGGAAGTCTCAAGCAGCCCAAGTCAATATGTATTTTACACTTAAGTGTACATGTTAAAGATGATTACGAATATTTAAAATGACATTGGAAGCAAATATTTGCAGAGAAACCTTGAAGCATTTTCACAGAAACCAGTTTTAAAATCATGGTGAAAACCTGGGTTGAAATCCCAGCACCAGCTGAGTTGCCTGAGGGTGAGGACCAAGCATTCCTCACCTAGATCAGAACACCTGCCACCCAGAGTGGGGTGAATGTGGGTGCTTAGTAAATGCTCCTTTCCCCCATTGTTGGCATGATGGTGTTTTTGTCTGTCTTTTGCTGCCAGTAGACATTTTGAATGACCAGAAGACTGGCGCAGTGCTTCTGTTCCACCTTGAATTAAAACTAGAAGACAACAGCCCTTTCCTGGCTGCTTATACCTTATGGAGATAAAATTTTGACCTTAAAATCTGTTTGACAGTTACAAAGGTATTACTCAAAGACTTTAAAATTCATATATGTATTTTATTAAAGAATTTTTTAAATGTAAGAAATGCAAGTCTGCAGGTACATTAATGTTTTAAAAGCAACAGGAAGGAGGGGAAAGTTAGAAACTGCTTTTGGGAGTTGAAGTGGCATCTGAGTGCTCCCGAACCCTGTGGAGACTGATAATGGCCTCAGTTTGTTTTGGGTTTCTGACTAAAGAACCACTAAGATGTAGACTAGCTCTCCAGGAGGAGCAGGGGAGGTGGAGTCAGGTGGGTCTTACCTCTCTGTGCAGTGTAGTTGTCTTGAGGCAGAGACCTGGGCCCAGGTGGTTTGCTTTAACAAAAAAAGCCCCTGGTGAGAACCCAGAGCCCAAGGTTGGAAAATGAAGTAAAGATGATACTGTCTGCCCCCTTCAGTGCCAGAGGAGCCCAAAGTAACAACATATTTAAGGTCTTGTCATCCTTAAAACACACATGAGTTAGTGGTGTGTTTTGCCAATTGGAAGATCAGTTCCTAGAACAGGAGGTTCACCCAGAAGGTGCTTGTACCAGCTGGCATACACTACTGGGGCACTTTTGAAGTTCATGTGAGCCGGAAGGACATGACGAGTTATCACATGGCACTTGATAGGTAGTACGATTCTTTGTGTTCTTTCATGACCGGTTGCTGCCTCAGGTGTCCCCAAGGACTATTGTTATATTCTAGCAGCTGCCCTAAAGCTTTCCTTCTCAAGTGCTCCACGCCAGGGGAGTCTTGATGAACCTCTGCACTTGGTCTTGGGGGCTTTGCCAGTCTTTTCTCTATTGGTGTCTTGAGGTTCCATTCTCTGCCCTCCTACACACACTTCCTAGGAAATTTGTAAATCAAGGTATTCAAAATGGAGATGTTTTATTAACCACAGTCCCACACGAGTCTGCCAGGGATGCGGCAAAGGCCTCCTTCCCCAGGAGTTTGGGGAAACAACCAGTGCATCAGGTGTTCCACCTGAGCCATGGTGTGAGGTCACGCCTCTCACACACACCCCTCCATTTGGCCCCTACACGATTCAAGCATTTACTGATTTCTCATGGGCCAGAGGACTCTGCTAACCCAATGTTGTCAGCCAAAAGGAGGGCAGAAATGAAAGGTCTACAGTGAGTTAGCTTGATTTTTGTCCTCTGTGTGTGTGTGCTAGGATATCACTAATCTCTTCCCAAGCAGAGAGTGCCTTAATTCAAGCCACTTTAAAAAAAAAAAAAAATTGATCAGAACTTTATCTTGCAAAATGAAACTGTTAACTAAACTTGAAAGGTAATTGTAACTATGGGCTAATGCTTAGACCAAAAAGGATATATGTGTATTTCCTTCCTGATTGTATATTGCATAATAAGACACCATTTCACCTTTGATTTTCCTAGTGCAATCAATTGTAGGTTCATTTTGCAAGTTAGTCAAGGGCTTCAATTTTCCATTCTTTGATAGTCAAATCATCCCATAAAACACCTAATAGGTTATAAGTAACTATTCCCTTGTTAATGGGACCTCTTTCAGATTCTCATTTGCAACTATCTGCTCTCATTTGAGCAGTTTCCCAACAATATTTTTATGACTTTATGAAATTCTGCAAGGTTTATAAAACTCTGGCACCCGTCTTGTAATTTCAATGTTTGAAGTTTCAAGCATATCACAATTGGTAAGAAGCAGGAGAGAAGGGGCCACGGTGGATGGAGAGTGTTGTTAGGGAGAGATGTCAATGGACAGTAGTTAGTTTTTTTAAGAATACTTTTCATGTGTGAAAAGTATGGGGGACTAGCTGTCCCCCATAATGTAGAGATTATGGCAGCTTGGACACTGACTAGAGAGCCTCCCCTGAGGGACAGCAGTGACTACATCCTATGATAGTGTTTTATGAAGCAAATTTTGGTTTGAGGAACTGCCAGAGTGCACAGGTTAGTGAATGGAAGAAGGCAGGAAATAATTTGTTAGGCTGAGAAAAAGTCTCATTTCAGGCCAAACACTGGTCTCATTGTATAGCTATTTGAGATTTCTAAACAGAATTGTTTAATAGTTAAGACTTGTGTGATTGTGTAATAGTTAAGACTTGTTAAAGGCCTGGCACTGTTTATGTGCTTGCCCTGAATTAACATTTAATTGTTCTATCAATCTAATGAGACAGGTACTATTATATCCTCATTGAAAATAAGGCAACTGAGGGCCTCCCTGGTGGCACAGCGGGTTAAGCGCAGTGCTGTGAAGCTGTCTGCAGCCTCTACAGTGCTGGATCGATCCCCGGCTGGCCAGGGAGAACCCCACATGGCGCAGCAGATCTCTCCTGTCTCGCCCGCTGCTCCCCTCAGCAGTGTCTTAGGTCCGTCTGCCTGTTCTGCTCCCTGCTGTCTCTGGTGAATTCTCTCGCCCTCCCACGCCTCT